TGTTGAGATTCTGGAAAGAGTACAGAGAAGAGCAACAAAGATGATCAGGGGACTGGAGGCTAAAACATATAAGGAACGGCTGCTGGAATTGGGCATGTCTAGTTTAACGAAGAGAAGGACGAAGGGGGACATGATAGCAGTCTTCCAGTATCTCAGGGGCTGCCCCAAAGAGGAGGGAGTCAAGCTATTCTCCAAAGCCCCTGAAGGCAGGACAAGAAGCAACGGATGGAAACTGACCAAGGAGAGAAGCAACCTAGAACTAAGGAGAAACTTCTTGACAGTGAGAACAATTAACAAGTGGAACAACCTGCATCCAGAAGCGGTGAATGCTCCAACACTGGAAGTTTTTAAGAAGAGACTGGACAGCCCTTTGTCCGAAATGGTATAGGGCTTCCTGCCTGAGCAGGGGGTTGGACTAGATGACCTCCAAGGTCCCTTCTTTATTATTATTATTATTATTATTATTATTATTATTATTATTATTATTAGTTTTCCCTAATCAACCTGTAAGATTGAGCAGAGTGTGGCTTTCCTGTCTGTAGAGCAGGGGTCTTCGAACTTGGCCCTTTTAGGACTTGTGGACTTCAATTCCCCTGGTATAGGGTCTCCTGTTTGAGCAAGGGATTGGACTAGAAGACCTCCAAGGTACCTTCCAGCTCTGCTATTCCATTCTATAGAAGGGATTCAGTGTTTATGGGGCTGAGAGTTTCCCCTCGTTTCTAATTCCAGAGGTCAGAGATAAATGAATTATAAGCTGCCCAGAGTTATTGACTATATAGAAGTTGAACGGACATCTATATAGGCACGCTGGCTGAGGAATTCTGGGAGTTGAAGTCCACAAGCCACAAAAGGGCCACGTTGGAAGACCCCTGCCTTAGAGTCAACACGAATGCGTAGGGCCAAAAATGTGGAGAGCTTTTAGAGTGGAGCACAGGTTTCAGGGGGTTATACACGGGGTAGAAAGTCAAGCCACGTGAATGCTGAAAGCTGCTATTTCATTCCTTAAACCTCCGGAGTCCTCTTGACCCCCAACAGGTGCCCCTTTTAGAAACTACCCATCAACCTTTTACAAAAAAAATAAAATCTGACGCTCTCAATCCCGCCGGAACCGGTTACGCTCCGCTTGCTTGGCCAGTCCTCAAACATTTCAGATCAAGTAGGCTTAACGCCTCTTCGGTAGGAATAAGATATTCCTGAATACCTCTTGAGTGCCCGCTCTTCTACCCACAGAGTTTTTATCCTCCTGGCTGTTTTAATTCATTAAAACTTTTCCATGCAGAAGCTTTGCCGAGCGCAAAAGCCAGCCTTTTAAAAATGCAAACCCTCGTGGCGAGGGGAAAAAACAGGGAAGGAGACCCCCCTCCCCTCCCTGCCGCTCGTGGCCTGTCCCTGGAAACCACGCCCCACTTCTGCTGCTGGCTCTGCCCTACAAGTGCTAAGTCAGCTTGTTGGAAGAGAAGTGCAGCACTTCACCTCCTCTTCCAAAAGGAGCAAGTACAGTACCACAAGTGCTCTAAAAATAGCACAGCCCCTACACCTTATGGTGAGGTTGTGTGCTCAGCAAGAGCGGCTATGTTACTGCTGCACAAAATGCACACCCAAGCCTCAGCCTTAACGGGTGTTTTCTGGGGGAGGAGGGGGGGGGTTAAGCTAGTGCTTCCTCACCAGCTTTGTAGAACCTCATGCACCAAACAGGGAAGGAGGCCTTTTGCAGCTGCAGCAGCAGCCTCTGCCACCCTATTAAGCCTCCGGGAAGGAAAACGAACCATCTTCTCAACTACTCAGAAGGAAAGGAAGGCTGCTCCATTTGAGGCAGGCGTAGCTGGCGTGGTGGCGAAGCGATCGCTCTTTTGCAAGCAAAATAGAAATTAAACGGGCAATCTGAAGTCAGCGGTTCCCAGAGTGCCAGCCACTAAGAAACAAGCAAGCAAGCAAACAAGAGTCTGACCGGAGGGTACAGAAAGGAAATTAAGATGGGTAAAGGCCTCTAATGAAAAACAGCTTGGCCCAGGAGGCACAAACAGTACTTTTATGCTTGTGGATGGAAGTCATCTTGTAACTTCCAAGGAACGCTTGGAAAAGTAAGGTATCAGACCATTTGCCCAAAACAAACTATATATAAAAAAGTAATCATAGACAGCTAAGTTTGTTTCCATTCAGACGGCCGCTACAGAAATCCTAAAGTGCCGTGTTTTTCTTTAATATGCTTCCAGACTCTTTCATCAAATGCACTGTTCATTGGTGGCCATAAAAGGGTTGTGTGGGTTACTGCTGCCCTCCTAACACAACTAGGTGCACTCCTGCTACACACAGCAGTGATCTACACGCCGGTATAAAGAGAACTTGTGGGTAAGTCTGTGAAACCAAAGAAACGCATCATCGCGATACGGGCACCCAAGGCTTACGAATTCTGCAAGCATTAAAATACATGTCTGGTTCTGGAACACGCGTGCCAAGAACAAGTCCTCACTCTGAGAATTGGTGACTTACTGCGACTCCCAGCAAAATCAAGCCAACTAGAAAAACAATTCTAGTCAGCACGAGGCTGTTCACCTTTGCCTTTCAGTGGAAAAGTGATGGGGGGGGGGTTAAAACTGGAGCACTTCCTGTTGTGGCAGCCGTTAATTAAGGGAACTGCCCCAGGCAAGACGCATTTCATTCTGGGCATGCAAGCCTCGGATCGGCCTGTGACTCACAGGGTTGGGTAGCAAGCCGATACACTTCCGTATTGATCAACAAGGTGGGTTTATGTTTTTGGAACCCGTTGGGTGATCAGCTGACTTACAGCAAAAGCACACCCAATCCACTTGGAACGATGCACCATCTCAGCTGAAAGGAATCGGGTGCTCCTGCAGGCACATAGGCCACAATGACAACCCCACCTATATGACTCAATGAGACAGCCTTTGTGCACTTCTACACCCACCCCTTCTATTGTGTCCAGCAAATGAAAGCTGCAAAAGGACACTTTCTCTTTCATTCGACAAACCGACACACTTGAACCAGGCCGAAGCTCTGCTTACACCAATTTCCAACTGCTGAATTTCTTAAGGACCTTCTCCTAACAAAATAGCAGTTTCACAGGCAGAATCTTACTTCAAAATAGAATCCCAGAGTCAACTCTGGCCCGGTGCCCAGTCGAGAAATATCTACCTTAGAAGCCTGCCCAATTGCTTCTTCACTTCGAGAGATCCCTCATAATTCCTCACAATTAGCCCTGTGATGAGAGACCTCCCACCCCACCAGCAATATCTAGATCTTATCATCTTCTCAAACTGCATATTGTATCCCCATTATGTGGTGTCTCCCATCAGCTGCACTTCACAGCTGATGCCCCAGCTCAGGCAGGCAAAGACCAATACATCTTTCCCTTTGGTAATCCAGCAGCTGGTACCACAGATGCTGTCTCAATCGCAGAATACAAGCATCCCGTTTAGTCTCCCTAAAGCCTTTTTCTTGAGAAACTGAAGATTTTACTCCCTGCATAGGCTATTATTTCTCTTCTGGAGAAAAAAGAACTAAGAGAAAAATAATGTATCATCTTCACAGCAAGACTGCTCCATCCTTACTACCCAGACATTTTTATATTCCTCCCCTTTCTTCTCCTACAAACTCAGCCTCTTCACTTCCTCCAGACCTGTCATGTGCGTATCTCTAATTTTATCCACTGTTACCATCATGCCCGAAGAACTTACAACCCAGACTTAATATTCTGAGCAGTAGAGAAAGATAAGCAAGAGTTATTTTAGAAATTGGGCGGGCCTTTCTTTCACCTCTTGATCCTCATTCTTTCGTTACTCCACCCAGCCAGATAGAACTTCTTTTCTCCACCATTCAAAATATATTGGATGGAAAGAAACATGGGCAATTTTTTCTTTTCAGCACACAATTCCATGTCTGCTGCCCCCCTACTTTCATCTTCAGTCAATTTCTGCGCCTTTCCTCAGCTCCCCATCCCTTATCAGCCTCCACAAATGAAATTAGCTCGCAGTTGATTATGTCAAGCACTTGAGGTGGGTATGGAGGGCATCTCAGTAATGCCTCCGGTCTCCCAACATCCTCCTCTCTCTGTAACTTATTCTCTGGGGCCAGACAACTATAAGTACAGGTCTTCCTCAATTGCATGTCAGAAATAATCCTTGACTTCCGGCCAAGCGTTTCCGCTCCGCTTAACACAACTCCCATTTAACATAGTACCTGGGGAAAGGGGAAGGAAGGAAGGGGTTTTCCTAGTCCTAAATTCCCCCTCCCTCTCTTGAGGGCAAAGAGAGGGTTTCCTGAACTGTCAGGCCTGTCAACCCAGCCAGAGGCCAACAGGCAAAGAAAGGCGGGAGCTTTGACTTAAACCAAGGGTCTCCAAACGTGGCCCTTTTATGACTTGTGGACTTCAACTCCCAGAATTCCTCAGCCAGCGTTGCTGGCTGAGGAATTCTGGGAGTTGAAGTCCACAAGTCCTAAAAGGGCCACGTTTGAAGACCCCTGGCCAAGAGGGTCCATATTGCTGCTCCCTTCCTTGTCCCCCCCCCCAAAGTCCTTCCTCTTTATTCCCTGCCCCCATCCCCATTTCCTCACTACCCACCCTGACCCAGCCTGGCCCCCACAGCCCCCTCCCCTCCCAATTGGGGGGAGGGGGAGAGGAAGGGAGGGGGAGGAAAGCCCCAACTGGCACTGACTTCTTCTGCCAGGGGCTGCCAGGGATCCAAAGGGAGAGCGTGAAGCCTCCTGCCCCATTACTTGACAGAAGCCATAAACCCACAAATGGGGGGTTGATCAGCAGGGCAGCCCCCCCTCCTCCTCCCCTCAGAGGCAGCAGGGCCGCCTGGCTGGGGAGGATGGGGCTTGTAGGTGGGCCGAGCGCCTTCGATGCGGACCCCTCCCGCACGGCCCCCCCAAAGCGAGGAAGCGCCCCCTACTGGCGGCGGCAGCGGCCCTTGCTCCTTCCTCTCTCTCTCTTCCCCCCCCCCGCCGCCCCGCCAGCCTCGGCCCGCGGCTTCCCTCACCATGATGCCTCTGTGGCGGGGCCGAGCCCTCCTCAGCAGCACCAGCAGCGGAAACGGCGCCGACGGCGACGGCAGCGACTCCGGGTTCCTCCGGGTCCGGCCTCTCCGAGCTCTGAGCCAGGCCGCAGCCGCCCTCCGCCTCCGCCTCCTCCTCCGCCGCCGCCTCCTTTCCCTCCCTTTTTTTTTCCTTCTTTTTTTTTTCCCCCACCACTTCCGCCGTTGCCTAGCAGTTGCACATCCGGGTCAGCCAGCGCGCGCGCGAGCGAGCGCGGGCAGCCCCTCCCATTCTTCCTCCCCCTCCCCCTCGCGCCACACCGAGCCAATCGGAGGGCCGCTCGCCGGGCATCGCCAAGTATGGAGCGGGAGGCCACCCCGCGCCTGCGCGCTCGGGGAGGAGGGCGGTGGGAAGGATCATTGAAGTGCCAGCGGATGGGGGGGGGGGAATTGTGTGCCAGAAGGCCGGGAGGGACCATCTACATACGGAAGGGGGTGTGAGAAGAAGAGATGTGGCAGAGGAATGGAATAATAATAATAATAATAATAATAATAATAATAATAATAATAATAATGATGATGATGATGATGATGATGATGATGATGATGATGATGATAGTGTTGGGAGGTCATCTAGTCCAATCCCCTGCTCAGGCAGGAAACCTATACCATTTCAGACAAAAACTTCCAGTGTTGGCGCATTCACCGCTTCTGGAGGCAGGTTGTTCCACTGGTTAATTGTTCTAATTGTCAGGAAGTTTCTCCTTAGTTCTAGGTTGCTTCTCTCCTTGGTTAGTTTCCATCCGTTGCTTCTTGTCCTGCCTTCAGGAGCCTTGGAGAAGAGCTTGACTCCCTCTTCTCTGGGGCAGCCCCTGAGATACTGGAAGACTGCTATCATGTCCCCCCTCGTCCTTCTCTTCGTTAAACTAGACAGACCCAATTCCAGCAACCGTTCCTTATATGTTTTAGCCTCCAGCCCTCTAATCATCTTTGTTGCTCTTCTCTGCACTCTTTCTAGAGTCTCAGCATCTTTTTTACATCGTGGTGACCAAAACTGGATGCCGTATTCCAAGTGTGGCCTTACCAAGGCCTTGTAAAGTGGTATTAACACTTCACGTGATCTTGATTCTATCCCTCTGTTAATGCAGCCCAGCACTGTGTTGGCTCTTCTGTGTTGGCTCTTTTGGCAGCTACAACACACTGCTGGCTCATATTTAAGTGATTGTCCACTAGGACTCCGGGATCTCTCTCACAGTTGCTACTATTAAGGAAGATACCACCTATACTATACCTGTGCATTTGGTTTTCCTTGCCTAAATGTAGAACCTTACTTTTTTCACCACTGAATTTCATTTTGTTAGATAGTGCCCAGTGTTCAAGTCTGTCCAGATCCTCCTGTATCCTAAGCCTGTCTTCTGGAGTGTTGGCTATTCCTGCCAGCTTGGTGTCGTCTGCAAATTTGATGAGTTTCCCCATCTATCCATCCTCTCATCCAAATCGTTGATGAAGATGTTGAAGAGCACTGGGCCCAGCACCCCACTACACACTTCCCTCCATGTAGATGCAGTTCCATTGAGGACCACATGCTGAGTACGGCCGGTCAGCCAGCTACGAATCCATCTGGTGGTGATGCTGTCTAACCCACATTTTTCTATCTTATCAAGTAGTAGGTTGTGATCTACTTTATCAAATGCCTTACTGAAGTCCAAGTAAATTATATCCACAGCATTCTTCTGGTCCACTAATTTTAACACTTGGTCAAAGAATGCAATAAGATTTGTCTGGCATGATCTGTTTTTGACAAACCCATGTTGGCTTTTAGTAATGACTTTGTTTGCCTCTAGGTGTTTCGTTGCTTGATTATCTTTTCCAGAATCTTCCCAAGTATGAATTGGATTCCAAGTTTAATCGTTTCCCACCATTCCTCCAGAAGCTGGACTACAATTCCCATGCACCAGCCTACACTTCTTGGCTCCCATCAATCTGCAGAAACAGAAAGTTGATTTCTCCCTGCCAAAACTGTAGAGCAGTTTCTCAAACTTGGCAACTTTGAGGCGAGTGGACTTCAACTCCCAGAATTCCCCAGCCAGCCAAGTTGAAATCCACACGCCTCAAAGTTGGCCAGTTTGACAAACTGCTGCAGAGTGAAGGGCAAGAAACACAAATGAAGGCCCCTTTTGGGGTAAGCATGCCAAACGAAGCATAACCTGCACTCAAGGTGGGGCGGATCCCCTTCGCATATTCGGCGGCCTCAGCTCTTCCCCTGCCAGAGGTGAACCACGCTGCCTTTTCCGACGGGAATCACCATTTCCTGACACAAGATGCTCTTAACATACAAGGAAAACCCTCGGAGGCGAAACCCCCAGTTGGAAATTCCTGAGGGAACAGTTCCCTCTTTTCCATCACTGCAAATACACAGAGAGCCGGGAATTCACAGTGATTCCTGTTACCCCAAATTCACCTTTTGCAACTAATGACATCTCCCTTATGGAGACCCCATAGAAAATAGGGCTCTGTCCTTCCGTGGCCTTTCTGTCCTATTTCACTCCTTCCTGGAGTTTATGAGTGTGCTGGACCAGTTTAGCCATCTGGTCCATTATATAGCTAGCTTAGGAATTAAGAACTGTGTTAGAGCATTTAGCATTTAAAGGGTTAAATGCTATCTCCTTAAGACAGGTAGTCAACCTTGGCTCTTTTATGACTCGTGGACTTCAACTCCCAGAATTCCTGAGCCAGAATTCTGGGAGTTGAAGTCCACGAGTCATAAAGAGCCAAGGTTGACTACCCCTGCCTTAAGAGATGGCATCTGTGAAATGTAGTCTAGTTATTAGTCAGTCCTATATCTTATCTAGTCAGTGGGAGGGGCTTCAAAGTTTATTACAGGATGTCCTGGCTAGTGCCAGGGTTGTAAAAGCCTTTGTTTTATCAAGCATCATGCATGCATAGATTGGCATCCGTAACCATGCCTAGCTGAGATGGGGAATTATTCCTTTTTACCTACGAGAATGGACAGATATGAATATGACCGGATGTATCTACTGCAAAGTAAGTCTCTGCTTAGAATTCCTGGACAATAAATATTTGTTTAAAACCATTTTCGTGGTGTTTACGCTATCTGGATCAGAACTATAACACATCTCAGTTCGCGGTTCCAGAATAATGAGTTTGTTATATTTGAATTTTTCTAATCGCCAGGGTTCCCTGCCTGAGGTTCTTTATGCTTCCTGTGCTAATAAATGCCACCTAATTTCAGAATTGCTACAGTTTTTCAGAGTTCCTTCCCCTCAATTCACCTTTCTCGCAGGTTGCTAAGGCCCATTTCAAAGGAAATAGGATTCCACAGCCAGTTAAGACTCATTTCCGTACACGTCAGCAATCACATTAGAGGCACACCGGAGATGCTAATACCCAGCCAGGAGTACGCAGGGTGTTTGGGGTTAACTGAGTCCTATAAGGAGGTTGGGCACCTTGTGAAAGCCTGTTCTCAAAACTGCAATGATCTGTGACCAGGGTTAGGGTCATCTGACAGAAAGAATCCTCAGCGATATTGAATTAAAATTGCCAAAATGTTCTTGACTTCACATATTTCAATCAGACGTAATGCATTTTACTTTAGGTTGAAATCTGGTTTGTGCTCCTAAACTGGAACTTGTACTTGAACCGTACTCTGCCTTTTAGGATGAAAAAAAGAAATCTTCATCAAGTGGCTTTCGAGTGAGACATATAAACCATCATCAATAAAAAATAATACTTCATGTCTTATTCAATGCAACAAATTTCCAGGACTCTTCCTTCTGGGGCAATTAGGAATAGGGGGGGAAATGGAAGGAAAGAACCAAGGTTTATGGGTTCTTCTCTGCATTCTCCCAAGGGGTGTTTTATAGTGTGCTGTGTGAACCCAACCAAATGATGCTTATCCAGCAATCCTTGGCTAAACAAAACACGGATTGATGCAATGTGCAGAGGCTGCCTACGTAAGCCATCTGAACGTGTCTGCAGGCACATGCTTTGAATCCTTCCTAGGCAAGGCTTTTGAGTCCGCCCTCCGCTCAGCCCAGCAAATGTAATCATTTAAAACACAGCCTTCCTATAAACAGTTGCGGACAAGCAGCTGGTCCTCATTTCAAACTACTTCCCTCAGGCTGAGAGTACAAACATTTTTTGGCCTGTGAGCTTAATGCAAATATTTGGGATAAAGGCAGAAGAAAAAAGGCACGACTAAAAAGCAGCTGTTTGATCCTTTTTTTCTTTTTTCTTTATAGTGAATCAAACCGCCCATCACTTGTCTCTCCACGGGTAACAGAAAATACTCTTTCCTTGAACTACAGATTTGTGCAGGATAATGAGTTAAGAAAAGAGCACTAAGGGGGATGACTTATCCTTCAAAAACTCAGTGCACATGTTTCCGAATTAAAATTGCATTTGGCCGTGACTAAACTGAGGTCTTGTGCTGCCTTGATGTACAAATTCACGTTCAAATTATGCTCTGAGAATCTGGCAGGTTACGTTCCATCCTGCTTTTTAATGAATTGTTTTAAGCATCACAGAACATCTCAGTTGGGGGGAAAAAAGAATTTAAAAAACAGCTTAAAGAAACTTTCAACTATGTGCATTGAACATGGTCAATATGTGTGTGTGTGTGTGTGTGTGTATACATACAGAAAAAGAGAGCAAGCAAGGTTTATTTTATAAAAGCCCTAAAGAAAAAGTGCCGAAACAAAAGAAAGGTTAGTTTGACAGCTGAACGCCTTTACAAAGCCACATCCATATGTCTTTAATCAGGGGTATTTGGGATTGCATTGTCAGTGACAATATGCCCTTTCCTAAGGCTTAGCTAAGTAAAAATGGATTTTATTTTATTTTTTTTAGCAAGGCTTCCTTTTCTTTAAGACCAGTGGAAAGCCTTTAACAAAAAGACAGAAATGTCTGGCATTCTTTTAAGGGTTTTCAAAGCCTGTCAAATGTGCGTCACATCTTTCTTGATTTGCCCACCCTAACCCCCTCCCCACAAAAAAAAAATCTGAATGGTTCAACCAGCGAAGCGAACAGAAGGAAAAACAGAATGGAACAAGGTTTCTAGGACATTTCCCCAGGAACACCATGGCCATTTAAGGATATTTTTGTGCGGTGCATCAGATAATAAGGCGGCATTTGAGCTTTATGTTCCGTCGTGACAGGTTTGTATAAATGAAATCCAAGGAGGATGAAGAAGAAAGGGGAAAAGCAATGACAGAGGAGGTACTTGGGGGGTTTTTCCCCTCCCTTGGCTGAAATAGCTAACTTTATTCTAACAATTTAAACTGCAACTCTCTGCATAATGATGTGCATTTCTTATTTAATAGGGTACATTTCAGCTGGTGGAAAAGCTCCATGCTGTCATGGCTGCGTCTCTCCTATCCAAGCTTCATGAGTTGACAGCCTGACACTAGCAATGGGGTGGGGGGGAGAGGTGACAATTGGACTGTAAGGAAGAAGGGGAGGATGGAAGCTCAGCTGAGCCTTGTGAGAAGGTCCAGCCAACCAAGGTCAAGTAAAGATATGCAAAGCTGGGAACCAGCACCTCTTTCCTAAATAATATACAAGCACCTGATTGCACATTTGCAGATAACAGGGGGATGTGGGGGGGTTTTTTCCTTTGTGTTGTTTGCAAGGGAAACCTCAGATTCAGCTTAAGCTACTTCTGTAACCATTTAAGCTTCAGTAAAGTATACTCTAAGGCAGTGATGGTGAACCTTTTAATAAGGTGACCAACCGTCCTCCTTTAGGGAGGAAAGTCCTCCTTTTGTGAGTTCTGTCCTCCCTCAAAAAGTGTCCTCCTACATGTCCTCCTTTTCGATATTTGAAGACTAATCTGCAGGGCGTTTTTTTTCTCATAGAATGCTCAGAACGGCGTTCCGGCACCTTTTTTTGATGGTTTTTTTTTCAACTTTTGCATGAGCTGTGCTACTCCCCCTATTGGCTTTCGAAAGCCAATAGGAATTGCTGCTGAGCGCGCCAAAACAGACGGCCGGCAAACTTTGCACATGTAAGTTGTCTGCAGCGAAGGCGAATTGGCAGGAACTTTGCACCCCTCCCTGCTACCCAACTACACCATCTCCTAGTTAGTCCCGAAGATACCTGGAGGAGACAGGAGCGGCGACGCCACGATAACTTTCTCTTGATCTTTGGCCCTGCTAGGGCAATAATGGCTGTGGGCGCAAGAGGCAGAGGCAGCGGGGCTGCTGCGGGCGGGGGTGTGAGGGGCGGCGGTGGCCAGCTGCCCCCCGTGCTGTGGGAGCCGCGGGGCCTGCTCTACACGGGGCTGCGCAGGGTGGGCGATGGTGCTGGCGGGGCAGCTGCAGTCTGGGGTGTGTCGATGGCGGGCTACCCCCTGGGGCAGGAGCCAGCGCAGCTGATGCTTTGGGAGCCGCGGGGCCCGCTCTACATGGCGGGGCAGCAGTGCTGGCGGGGTGGCTGCAGGCGGGAGTGCGGCATGTAAGCATAATTACAATATAAAATGTTATTGTTACAAATGTTTTTTATTATGCATTTATCATGTTATAGTGTATTCTGTATTATTGTTGCAATGAATAAAATGTTTCTTTTATTTACGATATTTTTTTCTTCAATTTATTTGTGTCCTCCTTTTCATTGTAAAAAAGTTGGTCACCTTACTTTTAGAGACTGAGTGCCCAAACTGCAACCCCAAACCCACTTATGCATTGTTGAGTGCCGGGTGGGCGTGGCTGCGGTGGTAACAGCAGCCTGGGTGGGACTAAAAAGTTCAATCAATCAATTCCAACTTTGCAAGATCTTTTTTTTTCCCCGCGAGAAGTTGAAATTGACTGATTGAACCTTTTTTTTTTTTTGCACACGGTGGCGGAGGCCTAAAGCGAAAAGGTTTTATAAAACCCAGCTGAAGGCCTAGGACTGGGGCGACGGTGCACGTGCCCACAGAGAGGGCTCTGAGTGCCGCCTCTGGCACCCATGCCATAGGTTCGCCACCACTGCTCTAAGGCGTTCAAACCGGTCAGTCCTGGAAGAGATCAACCCCGACTGCTCTTTAGAAAGCCAGATCCTGAAGTTGAAACTCAAGTACTTTGGCCACCTAATGAGAAGGAAGGACTCACTGGAGAAGAGCCTAATGCTGGGAAAGATGGAGGGCAAGAGAAGAAGGGGACGACAGAGAATGAGGTGGCTGGATGGAGTCACTGAAGCAGGAGGCGTGAGCTTAAATGGACTCCAGAAGATGGTAGAGGACAGGAAGGCCTGGAGGAACGTTGTCCATGGGGTTGCGATGGGTCGGACACAACTTCGCAACTAACAACCACAAAAGTATACTCTTGGCAAAAACAAATGGAGTCTTTCTTTTCTAGATGATTGGGTGGGACGGTTCACACATGCGGTTGGACTGAAATAGGAATGCCCCAAGCTGAATATGTAGTTGCAAATCCAACAGATTTTGCTGTATCCAGCAATTTAGGGTTCACAAGGAAGAAAGAAAAGCAAGACTATTATCTCTGAATGTGAAAATTCCCTTTTGCTCTTTCTGGCTAGTCCTTGTTGAATTTCTCCCACCCTCTTTTAAATCCATTTAAGCCAGCCAGAATCTTTTATGTAATTCAGGCTCGGCATTATGAAAAGTGCTTGTAAAACCTGTGTAATGTGGGGCATCCCATAATAAATATCTACAATTACATTGGATGAGTTTTAACTGCGGGCCTATCTGTTATCAACACGCACACACAATCCTTCTGACCTTTGTATGGCTTTTCTTCCTCCATTAACTTTATCCCAAGGGGTAGGAAATGTAATCAGGGTTCTTAATGGGAAATGTTTCCAACTCCTGGACAAAAAAGACAAGAGAAAAATCACTTTTTATGAAAGCAAAAAGGGAGAGGTTGAGCACGGGAGAGAAAAGGCAGACCTTGGAAACAATCTGATGGAAATTTTTCTCTGAAACAAAAATTTGATATGCTGGGGAAATTATCCCTCCCCACCATTAAAGTCAAGGTAAGTTCAGGATAATATAATCCATTTCTCATAATTAAGCTGACATGATCAGGCTTCCACAGGGCTGTCAAATAATGAAACAAAAATTGCAATTCTGGCTGGTTTTTTTTTCTTTCTTTCAGAGCGAGCAACCGGATCTGTACAAATCTGTGCGGGTTTTCTTTCGTAGCAGGGAGAAATTTCCATGTTTATAAGTGTAACTCTCCCGATGAGCCCGCCGATAACAGACAAGGAAGGAGAGAGAGTTAACAGTTTTATTAACATTACTTGCTCTCAAATATCAGTGTGTGGTCTTACCCACATTGGTGCTTTTATTTTTTTTAAAAAAGAAGTAAATTAAACCTTCAAACGCACTTTCTCCTAAAAGCTGAAAGATGGCAGTAATTAGATCTAGGAGTAGTGAAAAATCTTTTCCGATTTATTGGATAACTGTGGCCACTTTGTACTTACTCAAGTTACTTTTATTCCTACCCTATGGGTAGGAGCAATCTCAGCCAAAGTATCACCATCCTTGATTATTTGTTCTAAAATCACGATCTTTCAGACTCAGCCAATGGCGGTTTGGCAGAAACCCCATGGTTTCATCTCACTGAAGCTGTGTCCCAACCTCAGCCTCATTAAGCTGGGTGGACTTCAACTCCCAGAATTTCCCAGCCAAGATCAATGGATTTCAACTCCCAGAATTAATGCTGGCTGGGGAATTCTGGGAGTTAAAAATCCACCCAGCTGACTCAAGAAACACCGTCCCAAAAGGCAGGGATCAATCTGGGGGGGAACATATTCCCATCTCTTTCTCACACTTCAGAAATGTCACCACTAAAATTGGGAAGGATTATTATAGCAGGGGTCTTCAAACTTGTGGACTTCAACTCCCAGAATTCCTCAGCCAGGCACGCTGGCTGGGGAATTCTGGGAGCTGAAGTCCACAAGTCATAAAAGGGCCAAGTTTGAAGACCCCTGGGTTATAGTAAGAGGGATCAAAGTGGTCTATATAATACAATATAATAACATAATCAAAAGGTCCAGGAAGGTCTGCACCCCCCAGAAGAGGGGGATGCCAATGGATTTCCCCATATTAGGCTGGCCCTATATGTCTTTCGGGCCTACTTTGCCCAAGGTCAAAATGGGCACCAGGTTGCCAGGGGTACCCTTGGTTGCCCTTGGCAACAGACGCCCGGAAGCGGGACGGAGAAAAAGGAAAACCAAAAGCGCCCTCTTAACATTTTCCCCCGCCTCATCTTTTCAAGCTCTCGCGAGGGCGGCTGGGTTTGCGACGGGGCGGACGCAGCTCTCGCGAGACTTTCGCCCGGGGAGGCGGGAGGACTCTTGACTGACAGCGGAGGCGGGTAGCGGCCAAGATGGCGTCGGAGGGCGATCTAGGGAGGAAATGGGACCGTTGTCTGGCTGACTCCGCCGTCAAGCTGGGTGAGGGGACTGGGGGGGGCAGGAGACAGGGGAGGGGGCAGCAAGTGGGGGAGGCCTGGTCTGGGGCTGATCCCTTTCTCCCTGATCTTGCAATAGGGCAGCCTCACCCAAGCCCCACCCCCCGCTTGCACTGCATGCTTTAAAAAATGCATGTTTTAAAAAAGGTGGGAGCCCCTTTACGGAAGTCCTGGAATGGGGAGGAGGAGATGGCTGCACCCCACTTTGCAAAATTGCAAAAGCGATTTAAAAAGCCATTTGCAACCCCCCCCCCCGAGGCTGCTCAGGATGGGCATCTCCCTCTGGGGGGGGGTGCCTCCAGGCTGAGCCCTTGGAAAACCTCTGCCCCTTCCTCCATTTGGGACTGCATCCTGAGCAGGGTCCCCCCCAAAGCCCTTTTTAGCCTCACCCTTTTTGCTAAAAAAAAAAATGGGCTTCCTGACATTCTGCAATATTAAAAAAACAACAATGTGTGAGCACAAAAATATAGTAACAACCTGCTTTTCAAAGTCAGGCATCTCCAATATTATTGTTATTGTTTTATCCTGTCCTTTTATAAATAACTCGAGGAAACAGACATATCTAATACTCCTCCTATGTTCCCAAAACAAGGTGGGTTGGGCTGAGAGAGAGAGAGAAAAAAAGAAAGAGAGAAAGAGAAAGAAAGAGAGAGAGAGAGACTGGCCCAAAGTCACCCAGCCAATGTTTAGATGATTTAGGGATTTGAGCTGCTGATGTTATTTGTTGACATATGAAGTATGTTTACATGAAAAAAGCATGAAACCTATCTAGGGGTTAAAGGGTTTAGTATTTTCCTCTGCTTGGTGTTTCTTTGTCCAAACAGCTGCAGGTAGTCCTTGTCTTACGAGTTGAGCCCCAAATTTCTAACCCTGAGACAGTGGTGAGTCTTGCCCATTTTATGACCTTGCCACAATTGTTAAGCGAATCTGTGCACTTATTAAGGGAATCGTGTGGTCATAAAGTGAATCTGGCTTCCCCATTGACTTTGCATGTCAGAAAGTCGCAAAAATCTGATCGCCTGAACCTGGGACGCTGAAACCGTCACAAATATGAACCAGTTGCCAAGCGTCTGAACTTTGGTCACGTGACCGTGGGGGATGCAGCAGCAGTTGTAAATGTGGAAAACAATCATCTCACTTTTTTCAGTGCCGTTGTAGCTTTGAACAGTTACTAAATGAAAGGTTGCAAGTCAAGAACTCCCTGTAGTAGTAGTAGTAGTAGTAGTAGTAGTAGTAGTAGTAGTAGTAATAATAATAATAATAATAATAATAATAATAATAATAATAATAATAATAATAAAGTTCGAAGGGACCTTGGAGATCATCTAGTCCAACCCCCTGCTCAGGCAAGAAACCGTATACCATTTCAGACAAATGTCTGTCCAGTCTCTTCTTAAAAACTTCCAGTGTTGGCGCATTCACCGCTTCTGAAGGCAGGTTGCTCCACTAGTTAATTGTTCTAACTGTCAGGAAGTTTCTCCTTAGTTCTAGGTTGCTTCTCTCCTTGGTTAGCTTCCAGTTAAGGAAGGACGCTGTTGAAATATGTAGTATGCCTGCTTAAGGCAGTTATCTAATAGGGAACAGTTCCCCTCCCCCCAAAAAAGTTTTATGGTGCTTTTCTGTCAAATGACTTTAATTGCACGTAAAAGCCTGAATGATCAAGAGACGGTGTGTGTCTCCTGCTCACTGTCTATGGAGATTCTCAGTCATCCAGGTCATAGTTATCCCAAAGATGCTTTTTCAGGAGGCAACTGGACTTTCTTGTTTTTTTCTTTGAAGACGTTTCGCTTCTCGTCCAAGGAGAGCTGGATCAGCGCTGAAGAAGCTTCTTGGACGAGAAGCGAAACGTCTTCAAAGAAAAAAACAAAGTCCAGTTGCCTCGTGAAAAAGCATCTTCGGCATCTCCTGCTCACGTTCCACTTGAAAACAGCCTGGAGCTCTCTGGAAAGTTTGAAGCTCCTGATCTCTTCAGCCTGAACCAATGATTAGGGCGGAAGGAAGCTGCTTAGACCAGTGTTCCCCAACATTTCCGGCTTTGCGGACCAGCGTGGGAGAAGAGGGGAAGGTCTCATGCAAGCACCCAGCAAGCACACACAGCTCCATTTGAGCAAACAGCCAGCATGCCACTCACTTAAATAGAGTGCGCACCCTGGCCTGCTGTTGTACAAGTGAGGATGTGCGCATGCGAGCACTGGCTGGTCATTTCCGCGGCCTGGTTGCAAACCCCTAGTGGGCTGTGGCCCACAGATTGGGGACCCCGGTATAGACATATCTGTAGGACACAGCTGCCTCACCTTAAACCCACCCAGATGAGTCCTGGCAGAGGCAAAATTAGACATGACAAACCAGAAATAGGTGTGACAACTCTCTCTTCCACGTGTTGGCAGTGGGCTGGGCTGGCTTGAGTAAATAAGGATGCTCAGGGAATAGGCCTTGAGTGTCTGGCATTTAGTTTAACTCGGCGGTCTTCCAACTTGGCCCTTTGATGACTTGTGGACTTCAACTCCCAGAATTCCTCAGCCAGGCACGCGTGCCTGGCTGAGGAATTCTGGGAGTTGAAGTCCACAAGTCATCAAAGGGCCAAGTTGGAAGACCCCTGGTTTAACGACTTTCTCAGTGGGAACTTTTGAAGGCTGCGTGGAAAAATCTTATTTTGGACCTAGATGAAAATGGAGAAAGGAGCTATGAAGGGCTGAAATATTGATGCTTCACCCTCCCCAAACGCCGAACTGCTGTGAAAATTAACGGGCAAACTCTGTTCTTGACTCCACATCCATCTCTCTCCCCTCAGTTTCTTAACCTCACCCATCTGTGGCATTCTCCTTTTAAAGTTTAAATCCCAACCTCAAAACTTCCCTTACTTCAAGCAGCCAACGTCTGAAAGGTTTGCAAAGCACAGGGCCACAAAGATGGCCCTCCAGCCAGCGTGCGCCTCTCCTTGACGCCTTGTGCGTCTCGCCCCTTGCCCCTCGCTGCCATGGGCTGGGAGATGGGTTGGGCACAAAAACCCTTTGGAAGAAAATTGCCTAAGATGCCCTTGGCGCACACGCCGCCGTCTCCGAGTTGGCAGGGATGGCAAAGCTTCTAACTGCAAGCCAGCACCTCCTTCCCACAGTTTCAAGTTTCGTATTATAAAACTTGTTTATCTGCAACGAGGGGGGGAAAAAAAGGCACTACGGCTGCTTTGAATTGCAAATAACTTAATATCTGATTGATGCAGGGTAATTACAATTTGTCTCGCTCTCTCCTGTGCAAGTAATAATTAGACATTAAGCGAACAGGTGGAGGAGGCAGGCTGGGTGAGAAGAAGCTTGATATATAGGTGATCAAGGATCTAAGAAAACAGGGTTCCCCGATTCGGGGGGGGGGGGGGAGACCGTAGGCAGATTTAAAAATGCGAAAACATGCTGGAGGTCCGTTTGCAGCCCTTTCAGTAGCGTGCAAGCTCTAGTTTATCAAAATGAAACCAGCATATCGCTCCCGTTTGTGCTCGGGGCCGAAACCCTTGTGCCTAAACATGATGCCACGCCAAATCAGTGGGGGCCATCCTCTCTGTCTGCCTTCCCCCTGGGTGCCAAGGCTCGCCTAACCCTACTTGCTGACCTTTGGCCTTTTCCCCAGGCTGGTGGCATATCGGTAAACCAAATACAACAGGGATAAGCTGCCGGGTGCTTCGTTCTTGGTTCCTGTGGTTATTAGAAGAGATTTTTTTAAATAACTCCCAAGAAATGGGATTGGCCAAGAAGCTGGTAGATGCCAAGGGAGGTGTTCGTGGACCATCAGTACCCTTGGCTGCTACTTGTGCCCGCCCCCCCCTCTCTCCCCCCAAGCAGCTTCTCATGAGTCAGAAGATTCTTGCTTAAGCAGACAGGGAGAAATTATCTAATGTGTGATCCGGTAAGCCCACAGGAGACATGAATAATTGCTCTCAATAGGCAATTCTTGGCGGCGCAACCCCGTCAATTTAACCTGGCGTAACCTGCTGATCTTCGCCGTGTCCTCGTCTCAACCGCGCTTCTGCTGAATCCCTGGGCTTGTTTTGAAGAGCAGGTCCCCGTTGCGTAACCAGCACGCCTGCCTTTTCCCAGCCAAAGCCTCGCCAAAGGTGCCCGGCAGGAATTTCTCAGCCCACTGATTTGGCCTGGCATCATGTTTGGGCACAAGGGCTTTTGGCCCCGAGCACAAACGGGAGCGATACGCTGATTTCAGCTGTACCCGGCAATTAATGCATATGCGTGCAGGGTGCCAGGGGTGCATTGCAGACCTAAGCATAAACCAGCGTCGCCTCTTTGGCGAGTCATTTCTAAGCCCTCCTTACATTCAAGAGAGTCTTGGGAATGTCGGGGGCCGCCATTTGCTGACGCCAAACAAAAGGCAGAATCGATCCTTCGAATCTAGATTATTCGCGCAGGAAGAGGAAAAAGTTATCCTTTTAAAGTTTCAGGGGTGCCGTGTTTTACCTCCATTTAGTAGCTCTCTCTTTCTGTGCCAGTTCCCAAATCAAGAGAGACGAAGGCGGCATTAACCTGGCGTCGAATCCTTGCGATGTCGGGGGTACAGGCAAAAAAGACCACCAGCCTCATTTCCTGCAGTGGGGAGAAGAGGGGAAGAACCCAACGCCCCTCGATTCTGCTGTCGGGCAATACTTGGCACATTGGGGCCTGCACGGTCCTGCCTGGGTGAATGTCAGCCCCCAGGTTGGGCAACGGTCCCCTTTTGACTGTTGCCAGCCTCTGCTTATCTCACCCCTCTTGGCCAGGGGCCACTTCTGTTCCAGAGGCTGTTAACGCCTTACAGGAACATGCATGATTCAGGTTTAATTTGCATTCAAGACGGTGTCGCACTGTGGAGTCCATGGCTTGTCTGCCTCTGCTCGTTGCTGGGCCTGGGAGAGTCGCAGTTGCGTTGGGCAATTGCAGAAGGGAGTCTGCCAGGCCTCAGAAACCTTTCCAGACTGGTTTTTTTTTTTTAAACTGCGGCTTTACTCGCTGATCCGGGATCCATGGATTCTTCCCACTAAAACCTACTCCAGGGATAGGCCACCTTGGCTCTTTTATGACTCGTGGACTTCAACTCCCAGAATTCACGAGCCAGCATGGGGGAACTATGGCCCCCTTCATGACTCGTGGACTTCAACTCCCAGAATTCCTGAGCCAGCCAAGCTGAGGGGAAAGGGAGAGGTTTCCAAGCTGAGCCATGCCAGCTCAGGAATTCTGGGAGTTGAAGTCCACCAGTCATAAAGCGGCCTAGGCCTAGGCCAGAGGTAGGCAACCTTGGCTCTTTTATAACTCGTGGACTTCAACTCCCAGAATTCCTGAGCCAGCATGGGGGAACTATGGCCCCCTTCATGACTCGTGGACTTCAACTCCCAGAATTCCTGAGCCAGCCAAGCTGAGGGGAAAGGGAGAGGTTTCCAAGCTGAGCTATGCTGGCTCAGGAATTCTGGGAGTTGAAGTCCACCAGTCATAAAAGAGCCAAGGTTGCCTACCCCTGGAATAGGGGCTGCTGCAATGGCTGTAAGTGGGGGGGGGGAACGATCATAAGTCACCTTTTTCAGGGCCGTCCCTAAATGAACTGTTGTAACTCTCCTGCTTCAGCAGGGGGCTGGACTAGAAGACCTCCAAGGTCCCTTCCAGCTCTCTTCTGTTCAATATTCCGTTTTCTGCACTCCCCCCCCCCCAATGCAGCTGAAGGGACCTGCAGCCTTGACTTTGCTTGCTGGGTCTGACTGAGTTTCGTGCCGAAGCTTCGCCGGGGTCTCTCTCTGCCCGCCCGGTAGCCTCTTCTCCCCCCCCCCCCAATGCATGGCTGGCTCTGTTGCTGAGAGATTGGGGTGGGGGCATTCCTCTCCTCCTGAGTTAGAGAATCTGGGCTTGCTAGTAAAAAGTTCTGCACGTAGCTTATCGGCCACTGCTGGTTTTGGGTCCCCCTTTCAGGAAGATGAGGCAGTTTTTGAGATTCTGGGGCACCTGGCCCACCGACTGTTAACAACTGTGTGTGTGTTCCAGGAACGTTTGACCGGCCAGGGAGCTGCAAATCCTTTAAAACTTCGTGGCTTCCGATTTTTCAAGCTGTTTTTTTCTTGACTTGCCTGTAAATCAGCAAGTGCTGAGTTTCAGAGGGAGGGGGGGAAGAGAGAGAGAGAGAGAGAGTGTTCCTCCCCCCCCCCCATTCCCTTGAGGCCTTCATAGCTGGGGATGGGGAGGGGGCCCCCAAAGGTCCCTCCTGCTTCTTCTCTGCCCTCTGTTTTGTTTGTAAGCGAAACCTTTCATCTTTTATTGTCGCAAAGTCAAAGGCTGGCCTGGAGGTGCAAAGTTTAGTGGAAACATCTGTCCAAGTTGTTTGGCTGATTCCCCCCCCCCCCAGTGTTCAAATAAGTGGCTGTCTTGTGCTGAAGTGGGGCATCCAAAGCAGGACATCGGTTGGTGGGTTCCCAGCCTGTCTGCCCTCCTCTTTCTCCTACACAGCTTACACGCTGGTGGAGGAGAGCAGATTTTTTCTCTTTTGCAGAACATTTATGGAGAGGCATTTTCCCAGTTGCAACGTATGGATGTGAAAGTTGGACCATAAGAAAGGCTGAGCGCCAAAGAATGGAGGCCTTTGAACTCTGGTGCTGGAGAAGACTCCTGCGAGTCCCCTGGACTGCAAGGCGATCAAACCGGTCAGTCCTAGAGGAGATCCACCCTGACTGCTATTTAGAAGGCCAGATCCTGAAGTGGAAACTCAAGTACTTTGGCCACCTAATGAGAAGGAAGGACTCCCTGGAGAAGAGCCTGATGCTGGGAAAGATGGAGGGCAAGAGAAGAAGGGGACGACAGAGAAGGAGGTGGCTGGATGGAGTCCCTGAAGCAGGAGGCGTGAGCTTCAATGGACTCCAGAAGATGGTAGAGGACAGGAAGATCTGGAGGAACGTTGTCCATGGGGTCGCGATGGGTCGGACACAACTTCGCAACTAACAACAACAATTCTCCTTTCCCGGCTCTTCCCAGAAATGTTGACCCAGGCTCCCTGCCGCTTCCTTGGCGATGCTCAGCCGAAGAGCACAGGATCCCATCAGCTGCCTTGGGAGATCAGGAACGCTTCCCAGTCACGAGATCCCTTTCCCCAGCCAAGATGAAGGAATCTCTGCAATCTTGAACCTGCTTGCCTTTTTTTTTTCCCTCCAAGGAAGAGGAGGGTGTTAAGGTGGGAGAGTCACTGACCAAAAGCTAAACTAGAAACAGGGTCAGAAGTAAACATGCGTGTGTCACACGTCACGTGGCCCCTGTCCTATTTGCCATGTATTCTCCAGCTTGCCCAAAATGTTTCCATCTTCTTTTCTCTTCCATCAAACCCAAATAACAGCAAATCCTCTTTTTTTCCTTTCCATCCGCTCGTTCAAAAATCATTAGAAATCTGAAGATCGCCCAAACAAAGACTGTGTTACAGAAAGGACTCCCTAGCTCAGCCTTCCCAGCACTGGGCTTTTTTTTTAATAGACGCACTGGGATTTCCAATCCCATCATCCCCAGCCAGCAGGGCCACTGAATCCCAGTCTTCTGCTGCCTTCTGGTTTGGAGGAGATGTCTTTCGAAAACCCTCCCTTTCATTAGTTGCGGCTGAACGAAACAAAATGCATATTTGTACGGACGCCCGTCTTAAGCAATTCTGCCTGGCTCACAAACTGTTGTGGGGCTGTAAGTTTAAAACCAGCTTCATTAAGCCAGGATTGTCTACACAAACGCCTGGTTGTGTCCGTCCGGCCCTTGCGATAATTATCTTCCTGAATTCCAGCAATCACTCTCCCAAAATGGGCCAGACCAGGTGAATGCCGAGCGTTCGGTCGATCCCCACAGATGGTGAATGGTTTTTAAACAGCACAAACTCTTCTCTCTCTCTCTCTCTCTCTCTCTCACACACACACACACACACACACACAAAGACCCAGTCCGGCACCAGCTGCTCCATCTGGAAACGGTGATAAGAAAAGGATCTGATTTGCTCTGTTTGGCTGCCAGACCCAAATCCTGCCTGCCTTTGGGTTTGGTGGCTGTTGCCCAGATGTGCAGGGACAGCAGCTTTCCACACAGGACCGGCACAGCTGGAATCCCAGGGGTTGCAAGGCAGAACAACTGCCAGGAGGGCCCCGCCTTGCAGGAGGTTATTGAGTTTGTCTCAGATGACGAAACCAAGCTGGATGTTTTCCAAGGCCGGAGCGTCCCCCAAAAGTGGTTCACTGCTTAGCCGAGAATCCGTGTTCGAGTCCTTGGGCGCACGTCTGCCCAACGCCAGCCGTCTCTCTCTCTCTCTCTCTCTCTCTCTCTCTCTCTCTCTCTCTCTCTTTCCGATGGAGGAGTCCACCCTTCCGCCAGCCAGATGTGTAGGATCACAACTCTCATCCTCCCCAACCAGCCCAGGGCCTGGCAGTCCAGCCGCATCTGGAAACAACCTGTGAGCTGCGAAGACTTGATTGTTTAATCGCATCTCCGGCGGTTGCAAACAGGCCGCAAGGCAGCCGGGGGCTGTCCGCACGTCCGCCATCTCCTCCGTCAAGCTGGCGTCCATTTGTGCTGCCCCGCTCGGCGCATGGGAAGCCGCGGAGCGTCCCTGAGCGTGGGCAGAGAGCCACGCCGCTCTCTGCAGCTTCAGGCCTCCCTTTCCCCTCCTTTGGGGGAGGGGGGGCAGCACCCCCTCTGAGCCGAGCATCTTCTGCCACAGCTGTCTCGACTGAAGCCGGGCACCTCCGGGCCAGCCCTTAGCTTGGTAACAAGAACGCAGGAAAGGTCTCACTTACAAGGAAAATAAACTCAAGGGGAGGGGGGATGTGCATCACCAGATTTTTGGGGAGGGGGGTGCTCCCTCACTGCCCCAGAAGGGGGAGAGGGAACAGGGAAATAGTGTGCAGTTGTGAACAAGGAACACCTCCCCCCCCCCCCAATGGCACGTTGAAACTTTTTGAGGCGTGGGACTTGCTGGCATCCACCGTAACTGATAGACATGCATGAAGGCAGCTTGGGGGGGGGGCTTGTGTGAAGGGTGGGGAGGGGGACAAAGGACCTTCCTTTGAAGGAGTCTGGCCCACGGCCTTGAAGGCTAAACCCTCCCCTCGATTAAACTCTCCCTTCTCTCTTCTTTTCAGGGGCAGGATTTGGCCTGGGTGTGGTCTTCTCCGTCATCTTCTTCAAAAGTGAGTGAGGGTTGTATTCTCCAGCCTCTTCTTCCTCCTCCTCTTCCTCCTTCTCTTCCTCTGCCTCTTCCTCCTCCTCCTCCTCCTCCTCTTCCTCCTTCTCTTCCTCCTCCTCCTCTTCCTCCTTCTCTTCCTCCTCCTCCTCTTCCTCCTTCTCTTCCTCTTCCTCCTCTTCCTCCTCCTCAGGGTCCAGCTTTTTCCTTCTGCATCTCCTTCTGCTTTTCTTTCCAGCCCTCGGACCAGGACCGTAAGGCTGGGCAAGGGGTCAGCACGCAGCACCACCTTTGCCCTCGGAGATGCAAGCCCCCCCCGCCGCCCTTTCTCAGGGGGACCCAGCCAGAGGTCTGCCCTCCTCGCCACCATTTCACGGGATCAGCCATTTTCAGGCTGGGTTTTGTGTCTCCCAGGCTTCACCTCCACCCTCTGTTTAGGCTTGCAAGGTTGGCGTCGCCTACGGTGGGTAGGAATCTGGTGAGAAAATAGAGGCGGTTTTTGTGGAGAGGAGAAACTGGGCGCGTATCTTGCTCCGGGCGCTTGGTGTGCCTTGGATGGTTGATGTGAACGAGTGCGAGGAAATGCTTAAACCTCGCTGGCTACGGGCACACGGTAGTGCCGAGCGGCGAGGAGACTGGCAAAGGCCTCGACAAACACCTGGCCTTCTACCCGAGCATGTGCCCAGGGCAGCTAACCAGGTTCCGATGTTTTTAAAAACAAACCCCGAATCTCAAGTGAGGAAAGCTGATATTAAAACGAACAAGTGAGTAAAATCTGGTCAAAGAGATGCACTGCAGAATGACAAGAGTTGGAAGGGACCTTGGATGTCTTCTAGTCCAACCTCCTGCTCAAGCAGGAGACCCTATACCATTTCAGACAAGTGGCTGTCCAGTCTCTTCTTAAGAACCTCCAGTGCTGAACCATCTACAACTTCTGAAGGCAAAGCTGTTCCACTGGTTAATTGTTCTCACTGTCAGGAAGTTTCTCCTTAGTTCTAGGTTGTTTCTCTCCTTGGTTAGTTTCCATCCGTTGCTTCTTGTCCTGCCTTCAGGCGCTTTGGAGAATAGCTTGACTGCCTCTTCTTTGGGGCAGCCCCTGAGATATTGGAACACCTCTATCATGTCCCCCCTCATCCTTCTCTTTGTTAAACTAGACAGACCCAATTCCAGCAACCATTTTTCCTGTTTTAGCCTCCAGTCCCCTAAACGTCTTTGTTGCTCTTCTCTGCACGCTTTCTAGAGTCTCAACCTCTTTTTTGTACTGTGGCAATCAAAACTGGATGCAGCGTAGTCTTACCAAGGCCTCATAAAGTGGTGGTACTAACACTTCACACAATGCTTCTCAAGGCCAAGAGGGTGAAGCACCTCAAGGCACCTCTAACAAAGACTCACTGATTTTGCCTTGCTGGGCTCTCTCTCTCTCCCTCCCTCTCTCCCCCCCCTCTCACTCTCCTTCCCTCTCCCTCTTTCTCTCCCTCTCCTTCCTCTCCATCTTTCTCTCCCTCTCCTTCCTCTCCCTCCCTCTCCCTCTCGTCCTCTCTCTCTCCCTCTCCCCCCTCTCCCACCTCCCTCTCTCCCTCTCTCTCCCTCTTCCCCTCCCTCTCTCTTCCTCTCCCGCTCTGCCTCTCTCCCTCCCTCTCTCCCTCTTCCCCTCCCTCTCTTCCTCTCCCGCTCTGCCTCTCTCCCTCCCTCCCTCTCTCTTCCTCTCCCCCTCTCTTCCTCTCCCCCTCCCTCCCTCTCTCTCTCCCTCTTCCCCTCCCTCTCTCTTCCTCTCCTGCTCTGCCTCTCTCCCTCCCTCTCTTTCCCTCTCTCTCTCCCTCTCTGTCTCTGCCGTTCCCTTTTGCAGCCTGTGTTCCCTACAGTTTTCTTTCCCTTTCAGGAAAGACCTGGCCACTCGCTTTTGGCTCAGGGATGGGGCTAGGAATGGCCTATTCAAACTGCCAACACGACTTCCAGTCTCCTTACCTTCTCCACGGGAGGTTCATCAAGGTGAGTCTCCACCAGCCCCCTCAGGCAAGGGGCTAGCAGCAGCTCCCAACCCTGTCAGCACATTCTTGGAAACGGAGGCCGCCTTGCTGGACCTTTTAATTCAGTCGTCCGGCAGACGCCCACCTGGGGATCCCTGCGTGATGCCTTCCTAAACTCCGTCACCCAAGTTTACCTGCAACAGAAGATAAGGCAAAAAAGAGTAGGCTGGGGCTGAATAAACCCAGTGAAGAACCGCGGTGGCGCAGTGGTTAGAATGCAGTACTGCAGGCTAATTCTGCCCACAGTTCGGCAGTTCGATCCTGACCGGCTCAGAGTTGACTCAGCCTTCCATCTTTCTGAGGTCGGTCAAATGAGGACCCAGATTGTTGGGGGGGAATATGCTGACTCTGTAAACTGCTTAGAGGGGGCTGTAAAGCCCTGTGAAGCAGTATATAAGTCTGCTACTGCTGTTGCTACAGGGTCCAGCCCTTGGCAACCCACATCCCCAGGGGAAAACAGCACACCCATCTTGTCCATGTGTTGCTCTGGTTTGGCATCACAAGAAAAGGCAACTGGTTTCTATTGTCTGCCGAGCGGGATTTGGAGATAAAAGATGCAAACTCTGGAGTGGGGTGGGAGGTCTGGAAACACAGAAAGGGCTCCGGGCTTTTCCCACTCCTCCCCTCAGCCTGGCTTCTCTCTTATTCATCCCATCCTTCCCTCTCACCACCTCGGCTTCCATTGTTCCTTGCCGTCTGTCCCTAATTAATTCTTCTCCCTCCCCCCTCCCCTCCCAGGAGGGACCTTTCCCTGCTCCGTGCTTTCTCTTCTGGCCTCCCCAGACATCTGTGGGGCAGCTGAGTAGGGAAGATGGAGGGGGAGCATTCGCCCCCGCCTCCTACCTGGGTTTTGGGTTTGTGGAGGCTTTAGAAGCAGAGCGCTGGGTCCAGGAACCGATCCGCTCTGGCTCGCCCTGCTTTTTCCCCCCCCAAAGCAGGAAAGGGTCTCGGCCCCACATCAGGAGACCCTCTGCCACGTCATAAGCCTGCCAGGGTTGAGCAACACCACTTTAGGAGGGGTCCTTGGAGGTGTAACACAGGTTGTGTCTTCTCCACAGGAGCAGTGATGGGGTCCTGAGCTTCCTGTGGCAGAGCAGTGGAGACACCTTGGCCTCCTCTCCGTGGGGAGACGGGCACCCTGGAGACCCTACGGACTTGCCGCTGCCCCTCTTGGGGGGGCCAGCCGCCCACCACCACCAGGCCTCCAAGCGAATCTGATTTTTGTACCTCCTTTGGGGAACAGCAGGGAAAGGTGCCGTTCTGGGAAAGGCAATAAAACTGGAAAAGCAGTGATGATCATCGGTGTGTGTGTATATGTGCACGAGCGTGCCCCTCCGCCCACTCTCTGTTGCCTCTGTGTGTCAAACAAACCACGTGTGTGGGAAGGCATTCCTGTTTGAGCTCCCAGCTGCAACCACCTGCCTGCCTCCTCCTTTGAAAGCCTCAGCCAGGCGGGACAGCAGTCCGCAGTTCCTCTTTCCCTGGTCCAAGTTTGAGAGTTTGTGTTTCTCTTGGAGAAGCATTCCTGCCCCGGAGACCTCGGCCCCTTCTTCTTCATCTCTCCTCCTCTCTCTTCCTCTCTCCCGGGGTGAGAAGCAGCCTCCCTTTCACTCCGTCTGGCCCTTGAGCCCTCTCGCCAGGCGCCCGCGAGAGGCCGTGCCAGGCTGGTCTTGGGGTGCAAGAGGGAGCCGGGACGGTTTGTCCTCAAGATCTGGGAAAAGAGGGGGAAAGAATTGAGTCGATCCGGGTTGAAATCTGCCTTTGTTCCGAGTTAAAGAGAGAATGAAAGGCCGGCAAATCGTAATCCGAAGTCTTCTCTAGCCGAGCATCTCCCCACTTCACAGTGGCCACGTAGCTGCCTCTGGGACGGTCACGACCAGGTCCCTGCTTTTAAGGTAGACTGCTCCTGTAGAGGATGTTCTGCAGATAAAAAAAACTCGATTTCTGAGCTTTGGCTGCTGTAAGCCGTTTTTATTCTGGTTTTATAACGCCCGTTAGCAGGCTTCGACAAAGGGATATGTTCCGTTCCTCAGCCCTGGATCTCATCCAATCAATCAATCAATCAATCAATCAGAATAGAGCTGGAAGGGACCTTGGAGGTCATCTAGTCCAACCCCCTGCTCAAGCAGGAGAGCCTAGACCATTTTTCAGACAAGTGGCTGTCCAGTCTCTTCTTAAAAGCCTCCAGCGAGACGGAGCATCCACAGCGTCTGGTGGCAAGCCGTTCCGCGGGTGAATTGTCCTCACCGTCAGGATGTTCCTCCTTCACCTCTTCGGAGCTTTGCCAACTTGGCTTTGAATGAAAGAGCAGAACGTTAAGTCTTCATTTCGTCGGTTTCGCCAGCTGGGAACTGCATTCCCTTAACGGGGGGTGTCCTCGACTTAACGACCAGCAACAGAGCCCGGAATCTCTTGATGCTAAGCGAGACATTTGTTAATGCAGACGGCTTTGGATGGCTCGCTCGGCTGCCCAAGGGCAGCAGAGCTGTCAGCCCCGCAGGGCTTCAGATGGCACGTCTGAAGCATCCTTCGTTTACAGCAGAGGTCCTCGACCTTGGCCACTTTAAGACTTGTGGACTTCAACTCCCAGAATTCCTCAGCCAGCTTTGCTGGCTGAGGAATTCTGGGAGTTGTCCACAAGTCTTAAAGTGGCCAAGGTCGAGGACCCTTGGTTTACAGGGTGACCCTGCCAGGAAGACAGGCCGAGGGCAGGGATGGATCACTCCTGGCGGAGACACGACCCAAGCGGTCCTTTGTCTCCCTCTCGGACGGGCCGGCCCAGCTGGACGTCAGAAACAGGCCCTTCTCGGCACGGAAGAGAAAGGCGGTCGGTGGAAAACATTCCCTTTTCTCTCCCGCTTAAGTCCCCGAAAGGAATGTGCGCGCTTCGGTCCCTGCGGCTCATCTGGAAACGATCACATTTTCCCTCTCCCTTCTTCTTTCTTTAATCTCTCCTTCCCCGTGGAGATCTGAAGCCCCCAGCCGGGTGCTGGATGCCCAGAGGGAAAGCAAAGCTTGTGTGTGTGTGTGTGTTTTTTTTTTGCTTACGGCAAGCCCCCCCCAGGCTCACTCGTGTGTTTGCACACTCGGCCAAACCCTGGCCTCTCCGGTTTCTGCCTTCTTCGGTACCGCAGGGGCTCCGATTAGCTCCAGAGCGCTGCGGGACGGGTGGGTTGCAGGTGGCATGGGTGAGCTCCCCCCCCACTCACCCTCTCCGTCTGCCTGGTGCACGATCCCTGAACGCTCCCTGTAGGGCCTAGCGCTGATGATGTTACCTAGTTGGGTCATGAAACGTCTGCAAGAAAACAAGCAAGCTCAGAGAGCACCCCCACAGTCCTCTTCACAAATCCAAATTCCCTTCTAGCACTGATGATGTTACCTAGCTGGGTCATGAAATGTCTGCAGAAAAACCACCAAGCTCAGAGAGAACCAAGGACCCCACAATCCTCCTCCTCCTCTCCACAAACCCCAGTTCCCTTCTAGCACTGATGATGTTACCTAGTTGGGTCGTGAAACTTCTGCAAGGAAGCAACCAAGCTCAGAGAGCACCAAGGACTCTACAATCCCCCTTCTCCTCCTCCGTCTCCGCCTCCTCCCTTCTAGCACTGATGATGTTCCCTAGCTGGGTCATTAAACATCTGCAGGAAAACCACCAAGCTCAGAGAGCACAAAGGACCCCACTATCCTCCTCCTCCTCCTAGCACTGATGATGTCACCTACTTGGGTCATGAAATGTCTGCAAGAAAATAACCAAGCTCAGAGAGCACCAAGGACCCCACAATCCCCCCCTCCTCCTCCTCCCTTCTAGCACTGATGATGTTCCCTAGCTGGGTCATGAAACATCTGCAGGAAAACCCACCAAGCTCAGAGAGTACCAAGGACCCCTCATTTGAACCCCGAGCTGTACATATTCCCCTTTAATTAGCTCCCTGCGGGCCGTAAAGGAGGGTCCATAACATCAGCTGTTCCTCCTGGCTGTTTCCCAGCCTGTAAAGCTGGCCCAGTTTAGGTCGTCCTCAACTTAACGGCAGTTCATTTAGTGACCGAAGTGAGAAGGCACTGAAAAAAAGTGACCGATGACTGTTTTTCACACTCAGCGGCCGTTGCAGCATCCCCGGTCCCATGATCGAAATCCAGATGCTTGGCAGCTGATTTTATGACGCCCCTGGGGTCGTGTGATTCCCTTTTGCGACCTCCGGGCGAGCCAAATCAACGGGGAAACCCCTTTCACTTAACACCCAGGTTAACTGCATGGATTCACTGAACAACCATGGTAAGAAAGGTTGTAAAACAGGGCAAAATCCACTTAACAATTCTCTCGCTGTAAGCCGAGGTCGACCAGTGCTGTAGTTGGCGACACAGGGAGGGAGGGAGGCTGTCTCCAGAGAGGTTCCAATTTGACCAGTTATGGTTTCTGGCCCTTCTCTGCACAATCCCATCTCTTTTTTTTAAACCTTGTGGCAGTGAGTCTTCCTGGAGAAATAACAAAAGAAATAACAGTGAGGGCAATGAACCAGTGGAACCGCTGGCCTCCAGAAATCGTGGGCGCTCCATCACTGGAGGTTTTTAAGAAGAGACTGGACAGTCACTTGTCTGAGATGGTATAGGTCCTCCTGCTCGAGCAGGGGGCTGGACTAGAAGACCTCCAAGGTCCTTTCCAGCTCTATTCTATTCTAAACAGTGGTCAGAGGCTGTGGTTTACTCCACGTGAGGAGAAAAGGCGCACAGCTCCGTGTAAACAAGGATCTGCAGGCAAAACGCAAAATATTTGCAAAAATCCAAGACTGCAGAGCGGAATCGCAGCAGCCAGAAAGGAGCGACAGAGGCCGTCTTCCAAGATGGGGTGGGAGTCGGGCCGTAAAGCAAAAGAGTCCCCGAACAGAGACTCTGACAGAGACACTCCAGAAGCAGCTGCCTGGGAAAAGGAGAGGCACAGGATGCTGTTGTTAAGGACTTCATTGTTCTATCTGTAGCTCTCTTAATATTCCTATTTATTTATTTATTTATTTATTTGATTTGTATCCCGCCCTTCTCCTTACCAGACTCAGGGCGGCTGACAGCCTTATAAAACCTATATTACAGTTCTATTCTATTCTATTCTATTCTATTCTATTCTATTCTATTCTATTCTATTCTATTCTATTCGTTTCCGTTTCCGTTTCCGTTTCCGTTTCCATTCCAATTCTACTCTACTCTACTCTACTCTACTCTACTCTACTCCACTCCACTCCACTCCACTCCACTCCATTCTATTTTATTCTGTATTCAATCCCATTCCATTCCAATCTCTACTCCACTCCACTCCATTCCATTCCATTCTATTCTATTCCATTCCATATTCTANTTCTATTCTATTCTATTCTATTCTATTCTATTCTATTCTATTCTATTCTATTCTATTCTATTCTATTCTATATTCCATTCCATTCCATTCCAATCTCTATTCTACTCTACTCTACTCTATTCTACTCTATTGCCAGGTCTGGGCAGCTGAGGGCAGGCAGCGGGCAGTGACCCGGTGGGCACCTCTTCTGCCCTCTGGGCACCCCCGGCTGGCCTCTTTACCCCTGTCCCAAACCACTCAAGGCCCCCTATTCAAGCTGGGGAAAGAAAAGGATCTTCGCTGCACGAAGCATCTGCCACATGCCAAGGGGTGGCCAGGCTACCCATGAGGTGGGTGCTCAGAGACAAACTGGGCGCATCGTTTATGATAGCTCTGCTGCGGGTGCCCTGCTTTCCGTGACTCAGGTAGACCACTCCTAGATTTGCAGGCTCAATTTCCACTTGGATTTTATTTATTTCTCCTTGCCAAGCCCACAAGCAGGGGTCCTCCTAGTTGCCTTATGGGGTGGTGTATTTAGTAGAGAGAGTTCCTGTGATATTTCTGGCCATTCCCAGATAATGGGGGGGGGGAATTATTTGAAACTTTAGCAACCCCAGATGCAGAATTACTGTCGTTGTAAATTTAGAGGAAGATTGCCTCTAAACAGGGAGGAGCCATTTGGTCCTCAGCAGAGCTGGCTGAGGAATTCTGGGAACTGAAGTCCACAATTCCCTGGTATAAGGTCTCCTGCTTGAGCTGGGGGTTGGACTAGATGACCTCCAAGTTCCCTTCAAGCTCTGTGATTCTGTTATCTGGGCTCCTTCTGGGCCAGTTTGAGAAAAGAAAAGAACTCCACAAATTATCCTTTTTTCTTTTTTTAACCTTCTTTCTTTAAAATTAAAAATAATAATCAGAGCCCAAACAAGGGGTGGGGGGGAAGCTGATATCCCAAGAAAGGAAGCAGCTGAGCTTCGCATTCGGGGCCTCAGGAAGCCAGACCTGCCCCCTGCCGCCCAGCTGCATTCCAAAGAACCAGCCCAGATGTTCTCCGCAGCCCTTGCCAGAGTTCACACATGCCAGCCAGGCCCTTTGTGCAATCCGGTCCTCGCCACGGGGCAGAAACGGGGCACGGCTGCTTGCGGAAGAGACGGGGCCGCCTAACTTCCCCGCCGGGTGCCCGAGGGCGCAGGGAGCAGGATGCAATCCGGGTGGCAGGAGGAGGGGGGGAATCTAGCTGGGGGAAGGGGGCCGCCCACCCCTCTCCCGAGCATCCAGGTGTGGGTTCGAAGCGCAGGTTCTGCCTCTCGCACCCACGCAGGTGCCTTGCCCTGTCTTGACATGTTCCCGCTCTGGCACTCAACCCCGTTCCAGGAGCTGAGAAGCGAAGCTGCCAAGCCTGTGGCAGCCGCCAACTCTGAGCTAGAACAGGCTTCCCCGCCTCCACGGCGCTCAGCCCAACGCCCAAGTCGCCCTGCCCTCAGTTGACTCCCCCCTGGCACCCCTGGGTGCCCCCAAGAGCAAGGGACGAGGCAGGAAGCGGGCCGTCCCTTTCCATGGGCGCAAGTCTGATCAACTGCTGCCCTGTTGGGAGGTTCTGCTTAAGGGTCAAGGATGAAACTGTTCCTAGAAGGGGCCAAGCACACCCACCCATCCCCGAGACGAGATCCAACAGATCCAGTTTAGATCTCTAGGGCTGTGGGCACCACCAGTCTCAACTGTCTTTCAGGCGGACAGCCCAGCTGAGCCTGTGTGCAACACCCACAATCAGGACACCAAGGCAATAAAGGTCGGCTGCCTCTGAATCTGGGGGTCTCAATAAGGCTGACATCCCCCTCCCCTCTCCAGCCACAAGTGTTTGCAGCCTGTCTGGAGGGTGCAGGATCCAGCAACTTTTAATTATTGTCCCTTCTCTCTTCTCCCAAACTCGCTCATTCTTGCCTCTCGGAATACAACCATCTCTACGCAAGATGCTTTAAAAAGTCTCTTTTTTTTCTCTTCTCCTCCTCCTGACCTGACAGGATCCAGAGAAGCTGAAAGGAAGAGATGGAGGAGGAGGCGAAGGAGGAGGAGGAGGAGGAGGAGGAGGAAGAGGTGGAGGCTGACTTATAAGCAAGCCTCCTCCACTTGAGGGACGGACTAGCAGATTTAAACTCTGCCCGAAGATGCTGCGGAAACTTTGGGGAAGCAGCAAATTCTGAACAGCGTCTTTCCCCTGGCCAAGAGCAATGCCTCTATTTTGCTTTAAAAACCCAACTTTTTCCCTTTTGCCTTTACTGCTCCAGCCTGCAGGAGCTTTGTGATTTCTTTTTGTGTCCGTTTCTGGATCTTTTTGGACAATTTCAATGTTTTTTTTTCTCCTGCTGGTGGGTTTTACGCTGACAAGGTGGTTCCTGGAGAGTTAAAAATTACTCGGAATTGACTGAAAGTTTGGATCTCTCTGAAAATTAACACGGAAAGTAAGTTGGGTTTTTGGGGGGGGGTTGGGGAGGTTCGGCTGCTAATTGTCTCCCCTCTTACTCCCCACCCTTTTTGGTTTTTCTTATAATCCTGGGATGCTTTAGCAAACGTAACTTTTCAGAGATTTTATTAGACGCGGACTTACGCCTGGATTTTGAGCTGTGCTCCTGCGGACCTGATTTTATAAACCTGTTTTAATCTTAGGCTGCTGCAAGATCCTTTTTTTTTTTTTCAAGGGATTCAAACTCCTGTTCCAAGGGGTGAGTCGGTTTTTAAAACCCTTTCCAAAATAACCCATCCACCTTCAGGTTTACAAACCGCTCTGCAGGATTTCACTGCCTGAAATCTAAGCTAGGACCAACTCTGTGCCAGAATCGATTTATAAAAGGGTCCCCTGGGAAAAAGATCTGGGTTTGTGTTTTTTTCCCCCCCTGATAAGAAAAGGTGTTTCTTTTTTAAAAAAAAATAAATCCTTAAGTAGAAGATGTAATTGATCTGACCACAGGCTGTCTTCATTTTTGGGTGTGTGGTAAACGCTTCAACCTGTTGGTGGATTCAGCCTCCTGTTTCCTATCGTGACTTACAGATCCGTGAACACGGCTCAAGTCACACATGAGCGTTTAGCGGTTTTTGCACTCCTTTACGAGCTTCCAAACTTTAAAAGGAAACAAATGTGAAATTCCACATTGTGTGCCCAAAGGGAGATGCGGCCAGGCCCCTCTTGCGTTTCAAAAAATCATCACTTACAATTTATGTTTCTGCACAACCGCGGCCACGATACTTTCCATTTCTATTTTGTCTCTGAAAAACGGTTCGCAACGAACCAGTAAGTTTTAGTCCGTCGTCTTTGCTGTAAACATTCACACACCTTGTTTTCTCCTGGACGGTGGGTGTGTTTATTTGGGGTGTCAATCACGGGAACAAAGTCATCTTCAGGGATTCACCTAGAAAGGCAGGTAAAGAGCAGTGACAGATGGACACACCTGGGTGGACCAGGGGACCAGGCCCCATTTATTCCAAAGAAAAAACGTGCAAATGTACTAGCAATTCCAAAAGATTGTGCTGGATGGTGGGAGGGGGGCACTAGCAATTTGTGAATTATTTCCTCCTGTGCCAGGCAGCAAAAGCTCCAAGGTGCTAGTCCACAAGATAATAATAATTCTTCAAGCCCCCCCCTTTCCAAGGGGTTGTGTGAAAGGGGGGCAAACTTGTGTCTCTTTGCCACTTATCAGGACCAGATATTTTTAAAATGCTCCGTCCCACACATCCACTTTCTTTCCTCTTATCCCCCACAGCCATGGATGGTTTGAAAGAGGAGAAATCTTAGCAAATAAATCAGTTACAGATGAGAAACGTGCTGGAGGGAACCAGTCTTTTCAGCCATTAAAATATTTCCATCTGTCTTTCCTCCATCCTCTCTCTGTTTAGAACAAAAAGGAAAGAATCTGTGAAAAATCCCCGTCTGGAAATGATTTTAGGAAGATCTTCTAATCTTTTCTCTTCTCTCTCTCTCTCTCTCTCTCTCCCTTATTGCTGATTAAGAATGAAAAAAAAAGGGGGATCTGAAATGTATTAATTTGGGCCTGGCTTTGAATACCTGAAGGGAAAAAAAAATACATCTTTGAAAACAAGCAGAAGACAAACTTGTCTTCTTACTGTTAAAAAAATGAAGTTAAAACATTGCGTGCATTTAAAAAAAACAATTCTGCGCTCACCCAAAGGGACTTTTTATAAACCCTATTATTACTTCTGTTGAAAATGAACGTTTGTTTGGGCTAGAGGTTAAAAACTTTGTATTGTTCTAGGGCAATTCCAAATAATTTGATCACCCAATTTGCTTTATTAGAGATTTACACCATTAAGACAACATCTCCCTGGAAATTCTAGGCAGCGGCTGTTATTATCCACTTAAAGAGAATCAGATCAAGTAATGCTCAGCCAGGGAATAACTTCAACGAGTTGTTTTTTTTCCTTAAATCTGAGAAAAACACAAGTTGGACCAACCAAGCAAATGAAGCTACCCGTGAAGTCTCTTTCTTTAAAATACGGGACGGGAACCCCATTTAAAGTTATTCCGTGGTTTGAAACCAATCCGTAACACGTATCCCCTTTTACTTTGCTCTCCCGGCATTGGGGTGGTGAATTGTTTATGGGAGGTAGACTACCCCTACATAGGAAGGTTCTACTTTTTTTGTCCTGCTTCTGTATCTGGGCTCTTAAAGGGGCAACAAAACCCAAACAAGACACTGCTTAGTTTAAATGGGAAAGCCACAATTCTTTAAAGGGACGACAGAAGCTTTTAAGCAGATTCTTAATACTTTGAGGGAGGGGAGGGGGGGCTTCTAAAAAGTCTCCCCACCATCTCAGTTGCAAGAATCTCTTTCTCCTCCCCTCTGATTTCTTCAATCCCCCCTTTTTTTTCTGGATGAAAAAAGGCTCCCAACATCTTTTGCTTTCCCATTGAAGAGGTTTCGCTCTTTTATGATTTGGGTTTTTCAATCCGAAAACGTGTCCCGTCTTGCTTCCCCCGAGAAGCCAAACCGGATCAGGCCAAGTTAGGACTCGGAGAGACAGCTGGTGGGAATATCCGATGTTCCCTGCTCCACTCCCAGGATCTGGGATAGGAAAATGGGAGGCTAAACCTGGTTTAGCTCGGTTCCTTCCTCCGTTGGTCTCCCCAAAGGGGACTTATGGGGTCCTTACCGGCTCCTTCTCTTTTTCTTCTGAAGCTAACCTTGATTGCTACTCCCCTGTGATCCTGGTTTGGGAGGAAAGAGGGCACTTTCTCCAAAGTAGCCATGATTGCCGTGGCGTTTTGGAGGGTCTTAAGGGCACAGAACGTGCAAATCAAGTTAGAAGCAAGCGCACCCTTTTCTATAAGTTTTCCTCCAAAGCTCTCAGCCTCTTGGTGGGTTCTAGCAAACAGATCTAACATCTGATGCCCCAGCGTGTCAGCAGCTTAAATCTTTTCAAGCAGGCTCTTGCAGTAAAAATCCTGCAGTTCCGTGAACAGGTTAAAACTGTTTTATTCCCATGTGTTTTTGGACCCACTTAGCTTATAGTGGCTGCCCCTTTTAGTGTGGAAGTTTATTTTTGATTTTGGGTGGCTTTTAAAAATACAATTAAGATGTAATTATGATTTTTTTTTTGCTTTGTCTTGCGTGATGAGATGTTGCGTGCCACACAGAGCCCTTTAAGACAGATCATACATACTAGAAATGAATACTCAAAATATATACAGTAGATAAATTCCCTCTCCTCATTACCTATAACCGAAGGAGTGAATATCTGCTCTCTGCTTGCTGTCTTTTTACTTGCATCCTGTTTTTTGGCTTGTAATAAGACAGCTGCTAAATTGGATCCTGCAATGTCTCTATTACTGTGGGGGGGAAAATCATTAATTTGGGGATAAACAGAACTTGTGTTTTCGAAATTTATTTGTTGCCAAGACAGAGGATTTGTGTGCAGTCTTATTTGTAGGCAAAGGGGAGGTGACTTTGCTTTTAAATTTACAACTGTTCCCAATTCCTCTTTGAGTGTCTCTTTCTCTTGGTTTTCTTCAAATAAAGGCTGCACCGTTCCCTTTTCAGCAATTTAGCAGGATCCCACTTGCTATCTTTTGTCTCCTTTTTCTAATAATAGAGGGGAAAAAATTCATCCTGTTTGGAAACTAGAATTTTAGCACTTTTTTTTTTCTCAGCTGGGCTATTCATCGGAATGTTTTCTTCTTTTTTTTTCCTGAAAAAGCCAGGGATTGGAGAAGGGCAAAATATGTAGGTCCATTTTAAGAAAAGGAAAAAAAGGTCCTCTTTTTTTCTGCTGGCATCTGAGTCCATCATGCTCAGCCCGCTGCCCAAACGAGATAATTGCAGCTTTAAATCGCAAAGACGGAAAACAATTTGAACTCTTGATGCTAACAGCATCTCGGCAAAGATACAGGTATTCCTGCCTGAGCAGGGGGCTGGACTAGAAGACCTCCAAGGTCCCTTCCAGCTCTACTCTACTCTACTCTACTCTACTCTACTCTACTCTACTCTACTCTACTCTACTCTACTCTACTTCTATTCTGTTCTGTTCTGTTCTGTTCTGTTCTGTTCTGTTCTATTCTACTCTACTCTACTCTACTCTACTTCTATTATTCTATTATTATATATTCTATTCTATTCTATTCTATTCTATTCTATTCTATTCTATTCTATTCTATTCTATTCTATTCTATTCTCCAGCCTTACCGAGAGAAAAGCTTGGCTCTTCTTTAGCTTTGTACACTTCAGAAGATTTGTGCAAAGTCGCCAACAAATGTTGTGCCGTGGAGTGATTCATTCTTATTTCCCACCGAGCAAAAAAAAAATCAGTGCGGGTCTGCACAAAAGCGAACCAAACGCTTCTATCGAAGTGTTCCACTCACTCCGGGATCTACGCTACGAAATGTTCTGTGCTGCTTTTGATTCCCTGTTGGCATCTTTAATCTTTGCCCTAATTTCGTTTTGCTTGGCAGGCTGCCCTGGTCCCCACCCTCAGGAGGAGCGACCTTGCTCAGCTCCGAAAGAAGGATTACGTCTTTTTCCAAAGGCAGGGAAGAGGCTAGGGAGGCCAGAGCAACAAATTAAAAAGATGTAAATGGGCTGAATAGGTTCACGACAGGGGACTCCAGACCGATGTATTTATTCCGCCGTAGTTACAGCATGCATACCTTAACTAATGTATTATATGCGAGTTATTGTATGAAGGAAGACTTTGACACATGCACGCGTCTGTCTGTCTACCTGTTTACCATCTTCTGTTAATGCATCTTGTTTGGCTTCCTAAAATCACGCCGATATGGGGCGGGTGGCTGCCAACCAATGGGATCTGCTGAGACTTCCTTCGTTTTCCTAGGATTTTTGATAGCAAGGGAATTTTCTTTCTCTTTATGTAAATTAAAATTAAAGTCTGCCTTGAGGTAAGCTCAGTTCTCTGGTGAATTCACAGAGACATCCCTGTGTCTGTGTTTTTCTTAAAAGCATTTATCCAAGTCGTCCCGCTGGGATGCTTTCTGCCAATCCTTGTTCTGCCTCAAATCCTTGCCAATTTCCTTGGGATCCACCATTCAAACCAGATTTTTTTTTGTTATTATTATTGTTGAGATCAGTCCAAAAAGGATCAGCTGAGTTTTAGGGCTTCACCATTACTCTACGAGGAGTTTGCTAGCACCTTTTCCTGGCTGAGAAAAGTTTATTAAAATACGTCTTCTTTCACAAGCTGCGTTATAAATTGCCAACTCACCTAGGTTGTCCCATATAATTCTGAACTCCTTCTCTGGATAAACGTAAATTGCTGGGTTGAGTCTGGTTCTGGGAACTTCTCAAGCTGTTTGGCTCTGTATCCACGAATCACAGCCTTGTATAGAAGAGAGAAAACAGGGAAACATTTACAAGTGGTCCTTGACTTACAACAGTAAGTCGCTTAGTGACGGTTAAAGTTGCAACGTACTGAAAAAAGTGACTTAGGTCTGTTTTTCACGCTTATGTCCACGGCAATTGCCCTGTGGTCATGTGATTTACATCCAGATGCTTGGGAACTGATTCATACTTAGGACCGTTGATGTGTCCCAAGGTCATGGGATCCCCTTTTGTCAAAAAAAGTCAATGGGGAAACCAGATTCACTTAAGAAACGTCTTACTAACTCCTCAACTGCAGTGATTCACTTAACAACCATGACGAGAAAGGTCGTAAAACGGGGTACAAAACTCACTTAACAAATTTCTCATTTAACAACATAAATTTTGGGCTCCATTGTGGTCGTACGTTGAGGACTACGATGGCACTTAAATCAGCACCACCATTTTGTGGGTGATCTTCCCAAATAAATAACGAAACTCAAGAAATCTTGCTTAAGGCTTTTTCCTCCAAACCTTTTGAAGTATTGTATTTTTGTGTACTGTCACAAAAAGAGCATTAATCATTATGGAAATAATACCAAATAACAGCAGAGGAAGGTGGAAATATTTTACTCCACCTAAGGATAAAATGCAGATAATATCTTTGGCCAAGAAAGGTAATTTCTCTGTAATCATTAGGCAGCTTTGAGTCACTTATCAACTTCCCAGAAGGAAGACTTGTTTTTGAGATGAAAAATTTAGGTCACAGTGGAAAAATGTTCACAGATCCATACTAGGTTGCTAAATGAAGGGCACGGCTGATTTTTTCCTTGGATGAGTCACCACCAGGAAATCTCAACAACCTAGTTTGAGAAGTCAAACTTCACAGAATAACCTAACCCTAACCTATATTTTTGCTGAGAAGACAACATGGATATTTCCAGGAAGACAACACAAAATTTGTATTTTTCACTTTTGATTTCTTCATCTTTATTTTTTTAAAACCAAACTTTGCAAAAATCCATAAAACTGGATTATCAACTTGCCTTTCCTTACAGTGACCCCTGCTGGCCATCTTCTACATTGCAGACTTTTTCCGTCCCTTCGCTGTATAAGAATTTGAATTAGAGTGGAAAATTCAATTTCAATCAAATAATCTGACTCTGCCCTTCTAAGCCCTTTCTTGGAATGATTTGTTGTGATTTCCTTATAAAATTCTTCAAGAAAAGCTACATAATACCCTTCTATTTTTTTTTAACAAAAAACCCAAAATTAAGTATTGCTTTATTTTTTATTTTAAAAATGCAATTTTCTTTGGATTGCACCTATTTTATTTATACTGCTTTGGGAGGTGCATTTTTATCTCTAGATAAGCTGCTTAACAGAGTGTTTGATTGATGCAGAATGTCTTCCAATGCAGAAATACAACAACCGCATTCTTTTTTCTTTTTAACAATTCCAGTTCTCAATGCGAGGCTGAACACCCTCTCTTTAGAAATGTGGAAGACATTTTTTAAAAATAGAATAGTCTTGAGGTTTGGTGGATTTTTAAAAAATTCAAGTAGTTCTCAACTTACAAGTTCATTTAGTGACACGTTCAAAGTTACAACGGCACCGGAAAAAATGACTTATGACCATTTTTCACACTTACGACCATTGCAGCATCCCCATGGGTCACGGGATCAAAATTCGGACGCTGGGCAACTGACTCATATTTATGACGGTCGCAGCGTCCCAGGGGGATCACATGATCCCCTTTTGCAACCTTCTGACAAGGAAAGTCAGTGGGGAAGCCAGGTTACTAACTTAAACCGGGTTACTAACTTAACAAACTGCAGTGATTCACTTAACAACCGTGGCAAGAAAGGTCTTAAAATGGGGCTTAATAAATTTCTCACTTGGCCACATAAATTCTGGGCTGAATTATGGTCGTAAGTCAAGGACTTTTTGAAACAGGCAACTGGCAAAACGTGGGATGGGGGGGGGAGAAATGTTCTTTTCCCACTGTTTAAAAATTTTCTTTTCCACCCACTTCTAGGTCCCCACTGGTGCCAGCCACGATGCTGAGGCTTCTGCTGAGCGCGTTCTTCCCCTGCCTGAGTTTAGCTGCCCCGTCTCATATTAACAAGCTCGCCCTCTTTCCGGATAAGAACGCCTGGTGCGAGGCCAAGAACATCACCCAGATTATCGGCCACGAAGGATGCAATTCTAAATCCATCCAAAACAGGTACGGGTGTGGCTCGGCCTCCTAATCCCACCTTCCCTTTTAGGCCCGATGGCCCGAAGCTGCTCTCTTGGCACCGCTAAGGGACTCAGAATTGTGGGTGCTGCAACATTGGAGGCTTTTAAGAAGGGAACTGGGCTATCATCCATCTGGAATGGTACAGAACAGGGGTAGGCAACCTTGGCTCTTTTATGACTCGTGGACTTCAACTCCCAGAATTCCTGAGCCAGCCACGCTGAGGGGAAAGGGAGAGGTTTCCAAGCTGAGCCATGCTGGCTCAGGAATTCTGGGAGCTGAAGTCCACGAGTCATAAAGCGGCCTAGGCCTAGGCCAGAAGTAGGCCATCTTGGCTCTTTTATGACTCGTGGACTTCAACTCCCAGAATTCCTGAGCCAGCATGGGGGAACTATGGCCCCCTTCATGACTCGTGGACTTCAACTCCCAGAATTCCTAAGCCAGCCACGCTGAGGGGAAAGGGAGAGGTTTCCAAGCTGAGCCATGCTGGCTCAGAAATTCTGAGAGTTGAAGTCCACGAGTCATGAAGGGGCCATAGTTGCCTACCCCTGGTATAGAATGTCCTACCCAGAGCCAAGGTTGCCTGGTATAGTTGCCTGGTATAGTTGCCTACCCAGAGTCAAGGTTGCCTACCCCTGGTATAGAATGTCCCAAAGATGCTTTTCCAGAAGGGAACTGGACTTTCTTGTTTTTCTTTGAAGATGTTTCGCTTTTCATCCAAGAAGCTTCTTCAGCTCTGACCGGATGGTCCTTCCATTCCCCACCCTCCACTCAGAGCTGAAGAAGCTTCTTGGATGTGAAGCAAAACATCTTCAAAGAAAAACAAGAAAGTGCAGTTGCCTCCTGGAAAAGCATCTTTGGGGACAACTATGTACTGGACGACTGAGAATCTCCATACACAGTTATAGGGTCTCCTGCTTGGGCAGGGGGGTTGGACTAGAAGACCTCTGAGGTCGCTTCCAACTTGGTTATTCTGTTCAAATTTGGACAGCGATGCCCGTTTCTGTTGGCCTTCCTTGAGAAGGACGCTCACGTTAGCCCATCCATGCTGGTGGTCTGGTGATAACCTGGAATCTTTTAACCCCCCCCCCCCTTCCAAAGACTTGGAGCACTTCGTTCTGTGCCGTGCCAACGCAAACTGCCTCCAAGCTGCCTGCCTGTGTGCGTCAGGCAGACCACACTATATTCCTAACTCCTTCTTCCTCCTCCTCCCCCCCCCAGAGCCTGCATGGGGCAGTGCTTCAGCTACAGCGTCCCCAACACGCTGCCGCAGTCCACGGAGTCCCTGGTGCATTGTGATTCCTGCATGCCCTCTAACATCCAGTGGGAAATTGTGAGTCTCTGCGTTTTGTCCTGGGATAAGGGTGCGGATTGCACAGAGGGTGCCCGTTTGCAATACACGGTCCTCCCCTTTATGGATACGTGGAGGGAGGGGGGCCGGGTGTGCTAAGGAGCGTGGGAAAATCCAGCTTGGGCAGATTAAGGAGAAGGAAAAAAAATCAGCCCACGCTTGCAGAGGAGAATCTGGTGTTTTTAAAGCCAGGTTTGGGGCATCTAGTCCTAAGAAAGGCGGGGGGCTCCTTCCGAGCGCATTCCCAAGGATGGGGATCCTTCAGGTCCTGATCCTGCCTCCTCTCTCCTCCTCTCGTCCCCAGGTTTCGCTGGACTGTCCCCACAATCCCATTCCTCGGGTGGAGAAGCTGGTGGAAAAAATCTTGCACTGCAACTGCCAGGCCTGTGGGGACCAGACCCCCTACCTGAAGGGCGAAGTCAGCAACCATCCCGACGACGTCCCCAACTTTCCCTACCTCCCCCACTTCCCTGAGGGCCAGGCTCCCGAGCCCCATCCCCACCCTCATGAGGCCACTCAGGACTGAACTTCCACCCGAAGCCCCCACCTCCTCTATTTCTCTCCCTGCCCCCCTTCTCTCTCCTCCTCTCTCCTCCTCTCTCCAGCCTCCATCCTGCTCTGGCCTGCAAAAGGGAAAGCGAGGCACAGAATCCAAGGAGCCCTTTTGCCACCCAAGAGAGGACAGGAAGCAGGGCTTGGAAGGGGGGGGGAATGTCTGGATTTGGGGTGCGATACCGTGTTGGAAGGATGAAGAAGAAAAAAAGACTCACTGGAGAACTGACAGCCCCTTTCCTGCCAAGATGGAGTCACCGTCGCCAGCTTGTAGAGGGGCCCGTTTTTATTCACCGGTGGAGGGTCTGCACTTCCAGATTTGGGGATGCTGAACTGGGAGGTTGCCGACAAAGAGGCCGTCTTCTTTCTCTTTTGTTCTGAGATCTTTGCCCACAAGCAGGCAGAAGAAACGTGGATTTTCTCACCAGGTCCCATGGGAACACGGGACTTCCCCCTATATATAAATATATATATATATACACCAGACTGAGAAGAAAACCAGTTCGGCAGTATTATGAACTTTTATCAGACTAGTGGGCTCCCTCGTTTAAACTTTCTTCCCCGTGGACTCGGTAGGTGGGGGAAGACAAGGAAAAGGGACTGAGAAGAAGAAGCCGCTACAACCTTGGTTTAAATCCTGGGACAATCTCGCCTCTGAAGCTTCCTTCCTGGGTTCCTGCAGTGTGGAACATCTAGAACGTATGTTTTGAAAGACAACATTCAAGTCAGAGTTGGGGTCCTCGGGGGTCTTGCGCCTCAGTTTCCTTCACACCAGCCAGGCAGACTGTTGGCCAGGTTGGGATGGGAGTTGCTAACTCAGAACTTCTGGAGGACACTTGCCCAGGTCATCTAGCCGTGCTTTTGGCCTTGAGCTCGTGGTGCCCAGATGGTTTGCTTCCCTTTTTCTCAATCAAGATGAGGTCGAGTTGCAGCTCCCAGTACTGGAGAGCAGGACACGGTCCATACAGTGCACACGCAATCTCTTGAAAACAGCCCTCTCTGACCTGAATCTACTCCCATTTGTTGGAAAGAGGGAGAAAAAGGCTCTTTTGCAGCTGAGGCTTTCATCCTGCTTGATTTGATACCGAAGCTGACACCGTTTGGGGACGCAACCCCACATTTTCACACACTATCACAAGCCTTGGGGGGGACAGGGCCGTGGGGTAAGGGCAGTGGTGGGATTCAAATAGGTGAACAACCGGTTCTCTGCGTGGATGCCGCTTCCGGAAGTCCATTCTGGGCCTGGGCAACAAAAAATTAGCTACCGGTTCTGCCGAAGTGGTGCGAACCCCACCACTGGGTGAAGGCTACCCAAGCTCTTTCTCTTTGGAGGAACTGCTGGGGATGATGGTTGCTTGGATCCACGAAAGGCCAGCCACGTTTTAGAAGCCGACAGTCCCCATCTTACAACAGGTTTAATTCCTGCCCTGGGTCCCCTGTGTTTGCCCTCTATTTCTCCAGATCAGACTTTACTTCCAAGTAGCACTTTAACAAGCCAACAAAGGTGTGGAGAACATCTGGGTTTTTTTGGAAACAAGGGGGAATTTCCAATTATTGCTCTTGGCCATTTCGAACCAAACAAGCCTACCCAAAATAAGAATTAAATCCTTCGGCTGCTGCTGCAGGCGTCGGCATTCCTTCTGAACGAACCCTGGGCTGTGTGTGGTGTCTGAAAGGACGGCCACTTCTCTCTCTCGATGTTTTTGTCTTAAATCTTGATCGCACAAACCTGCCCTTCTCGTTCTTAAGCCAGGGAAGCTTCCGAGGCACGTAATGCACATCCATCCATGACACACCCACTGTATATTTTTACCTGTGTAGTTATTGCCACTGACAACATCACCTTAAATAAATTAGACTGAACGTTTGCAGTCCTCAACTTTGGGGTTTTTTTTTTTATTCAGGGGCTCCCACCGGGATGCAAATCTTCGCCATTCGAAAGCTTTTCAAAAAAACACAGGAGGTCTCCTATGGGGAGGGGGCAAGAGGGAGGGAAAAAAAGACTAAAGCTTTTTTAACAAAGCAATTTGTGGGTTTCCTTTGGACTCCAAAATGTGGTGGCTGCAACAGAGAAGTCCCACTTTAAACACCAAAGTCTCTGTTTTCCCCCAAATTCACCACATTCCACAGTAACTGAAAATGGCCAGTGCCGGGACGCTGTTCACACAGACCCACGAGGAGTAAAATAGGCTGAAGGCACTTTGAAATAAAAACCAAAGTAAAAAAAAAAAAGATCTGCCACTCTCCCAAAATATGGAGAAGAGGAAAACTGCACTCTGCAAAATGTGCAATTCCCCCCCCCCCCCGTATCTTAGAAGACAGCAAAATGGTACGAGAGTCAAAATGGTCTCCAGATCTTTGCCCGGTCCAGCCGGCTGCAGGAGTGCAGAAAATCCATCCAAAGCCACTGAGATAATTGGTCCCTTCCTTCACAGGGAAAACAGGACTATTTTTGAGACATTTGTGTGGGTGGGGAGAGAAAAAAGTCTCAGTAGGTTAGACCCTGCTGGTTAGACACCTTGTTGAATGAGGAATGCTTGTCCGTGAATTGTCTCCAAAACGGGGGGGGGCACAGGTGAGCTTGCTGCCCCCCCCGCTGAGGCTTCTGTCTCCTGCAAAGGGGTGTGTGTTGCAAAACAGCGGATGGAAAGGCTGCGGGTTCAGGTCTGTACAGGTAATCCTCCACTTAACGGCCACAATCGAGCCAACCTTTCTGCCGCTAAGCGAGACGACGGCGAAGTGAGTTTTGCCCCACCTTGCGATCTTTCTTTCCGCCGTTGTTAAGTGAGTCACTGCGATTGTTAAGTTAGTAGCACGGTTATGAAGCGAATCAGGCTTTCCCCGTTGACTTTGCCGGTCAGAAGGCCGCAAAAGGGGATTGCGTGACCCCGGGACAATGCAACCGTCGTAAGTACACGCCAGTTGCCGAGCCTCTGAATTTTGGTCACGTGACCAGTGGTGATGCTGCAATGGTCGTAAGTAGCGTGAAAACGGCCATAAGTCACTTTTTTTCAATGCTGTTGTAAGTTGAGGACTGTTTGTAGTTAGAAAGAGAGCACGGGTGGGTGCTGGTGAGGAGGAGGAGGAGGAGGAGGAGGAGGAGGAGGAGGAGGAAGAAGCACGGGCCAAGAACCAAATGGGGAGCGAGGGGCTGGCGGGATCCCATCAAGGCCCAGGCCACCGCCAGCAAAATGCACTCAAGCAGCCCATAATCCAAAATTATCCACAGGTAGACAATCACTGGACGAGGCAGCTCCACACTTTAGCATACCTCATGCCCACACCTCCAACTTCAAGGAAAATATGGTTTTCTTTCTCTTTGACATGGAAGCTCTCTCTCTCTCTTAAAACAAATGCAAATATTTGTCTTGACTTTAGGGGAACGTTTAAACGTACAACTGTCCACGTGAGGTGGCAAAGGAGATGCCAGCGTCCCTCAGCATCCACCAGGTGCACAGATGCCCACCTGGACACCAGCAAACAAGCCTGGCCAAATCACGCCTATTTCCTACTTTTAATTTTTATTCCTGGCGTTACTTGCCTGGCGTGCTCCTCGCTCTCCAAATTCCTTGGCCACTGCTCCCCCCCCAAGTGGCACTCCTGAATGGGCAGAGCCCCCAGCCCCAGTTCGCTTCCTCCATGGCATTCCCGCCCTCCACCCACCACCCACAGCATTTTCGCCCTCCCAAACTGTTCCGAGCGAGCGAGCGAGCGACAGTCAGCTGAAAGGTCCAGATTGACTCTCCTTCCTTCCTGCCTTCCTTCTCCGGCACACCAGCTGCTTGGCTCCCCACCGCCAACCGAGCGAGCGGCTTGCCGAAAAAAGATCCCTGCTCTGCGTCTCCAGGGAGGTCTCGGTGCCCCTCCAGAAGGGGAAGGGGAGAGGCACTTGCGACGCCAACCCGCCAGCCTGGCAAGGCGAGCAGGGCAGGCAGAGAAGGCGAGCAGAGATTGCAGCTGCTTCTGCTTTGCTTTCTCCTCGTATTTTTCCTTCTCTAAGAGAACCCGACACGCTACAGGTAGGAGATGGGGAAGGGCTGCCAGCCGCCCAGGATGAGGGACGGTGGGGACACCCCAGCAAACGGAGAGCAGGGGGGTCCCCAGTTTCCTAGCAAGGAAGAGTGAAAGGGCCAGGGAGCGTGGCGATCACTGAGCCTGGCGCCCGGTCTTCCCTATGCCGAGGGTGCCACTCCCCCCCATGGATGGGCAGCCGGAGAGCCTCAATGCCAGCCTGATGGGGCAGGAGCCTGGGCTGCGTGGCAGTGCCTGGACAGCCGCCTTCCTCTGCTTCGTCATCCTCCTGACCATGGTGGGCAACTTCGCCCTCATCCTTCTCATCTTCAGCCAGCGGTTCCTGCGCAACACATCCAACTTCTTCCTGGTGTCCCTCTTCCTCTCAGACCTGATGGTGGGCCTGGTGGTCATGCCCCCAGCCATGCTGAACCAGCTCTATGGGCGCTGGGTGCTGGACGGCGCCTTCTGCTCCGTCTGGTTCTCCTTCGACGTCATGTGCACCAGCGCCTCCATCCTCAACCTGTGCGTCATCAGCCTGGACCGCTATCTGCTGATCATCTCCCCGCTCAAGTACAAGCTGCGGATGACCTCCGGCCGGGCCTTTTGGCTCATCCTGGCCACCTGGACGCTGGCCGCCTTGGTGTCCTTCCTGCCCATCAAAATGGGCTGGCACAAGACGGAGTTTGACCGCCACCCGCTCAACGCCACCCTGCAGCTGGAAGAGGAGCAGTGCCGTCTGCTGGTCAGCTTGCCTTACGCCCTCATCGCCTCCGGCCTGACCTTCTTCCTCCCCTCGGTGGCCATCTTGTTCACCTACTGCCGGATCCTGCTGGCTGCGCGGAAACAGGCCCTCCAGGTAGCCTCCCTCACCAACAACAAGCCCACCAGTGAACAAACTCAACAGGTAAATACAAGGGCAGTCCAGGACAGCGTTATTCCCAGGCGGACAGATGGGCTGGTTGATCGTCCTGGGGAATTAACACATCATGTGATTTGTTCCAGAGGGATGAATTAACTCCATGCATGCTCAGAGAGACAGTGATATTTCCCAAAATTTTCCTTCACTTGCTAGGCATGGGTACCATTACTACTGCATCCGTCAGAGGCCGTGGAAAATTAGGTTAACTCTGGGTCCACATCTGTCCCTCTTTCTCAAAAAGGGTTTTTCTTCCTGCTACCCACGTGGCTTCTGTTTTTCTGCCCCATTTTCAATGAGCTTTCAAATGTCTCTAATGGTGTATTTTGGACTTAGCATAGCAAGCTGTGCAATGGGCACATTATATAACCAATAGAACTGCCAGACCCCTCAAGTCCCACTGAATGAGCATTTAATCAAGGTTATCTCCTCGTTTAAGAAAAATAGACAGCCGAAAGCAGCTTCTCGTGTATTGAATTGAAGGAGAATTGGACAAAAAAAAAAGAGAAATGAAAAATGATTTTTTTCTGCAGCTTTAACAAAGGCTGCAAATGAAACCTTTCTTAAAGGGGTGCGTGTGTGTATTAATTTGGAAACTGTTGTTTTCTTCCCAAATTCAACAGTTTCAGTTGCCCATCCACTTTCTACTGTACACGTAGACAGCCACTGGACTCTGCATGAGTCCACGTTCTGGGGACAACTTCCCCTTTCTAATTAGGCCCTGCTATTAGTCTCCCTGTGTGATGCTGCCAACTGCACCCCCTCCACAAATTAAGCACCCCAGGGGTGCTGAAGAAAGAGGTCACAAGCATTTATTTTGGAGAGGGCAGCCAAACAGCCCCTCCAATTTTGATGGAAAAGGTTAGGGAGAAGGCAAGGCACGGCCCCTGGTGGATAATTTCTAAAAATCAGATGCCGCTTCTGGAAAAACACCCAGCCTGCAGACGAGGTATCAATTATAACTATACTGCATTCTCATGAATGAAGTTGGAGACCCATAAAGTAGTTTTACATCCTTTAGATCAGCGGTTCTGAACCTGTGGGTCGGGACCCCATTTGGGGTCGATCAACCATTTCACAGGGGTCGCCAAGCAAGGCTGTCCGCCATTTTTTTCCCCTTTTCCGGCGGGTGCCTTACCTCCCTTGGGCTGGGCCAGCTGGTGGTCGGCCTGCTCCGTCTCTGCCGCTTGCCAGCTACGCCTCGGCCGGCGCAGGGGGCGGAACCACGCATGTGCGGCGCTCCCGGGCAGGGAAAGTCCTTGACTTACGACCGGTTGGGTAGTCCTCGACTTACGAC